GGGTTTAGGGTTTCGGGTTTGGGGTTTAGGGTTTCGGGTTTAGGGTTTAGGGTTTAGGGCACTTAGCAACGCCCGGAGAACCACTGGGCCCTAGACGACGGCGCCCGGTTCGGCGAGCACACTGCTGACATTGACCTCATCGTAGGGTTTTGGGGGCTTACGCTGTTTTGCTTGGATTGAGGACTTGAGGGGCAACCTCGCCACCTGGCCACACCCCTAAGCCCCCCGCCTCCAAAGAGATAAACAACAAGTACGGGTATATGCCTTCACATCCTAAACCCTAAACCCTAAACACCAAATCCTAAATTCTAAACCCTAAACCCTCAACCCTAAACCCCAAACCCCAAACCCCAAATCCTAAACCCTAAACACCAAAAACCTTCTCTCCCAAACCCTGCACGATGTCGGGAAGCACGGATACGTCTCTCCGGGCTTCGGGGCCCGAAACCCTCTCATCTCGCAACAAGAGGCCGTGATGGGCGTGCGCGTGCGCTGGCAGTTGGCCTGCAGCTGCTCCGAGAGCGCCAGGGCCGTTGCCTGGCGCAGGTCTCCTGTGTGCCAGTGTTTAGGAGTTTAGGGTTTAGGGTGTAGGGTTTAGGGTTTAGGGTTTAAGGTTTAGGGTTTGGGGATTAGGGATAATTTGTTTCGGTTTAGGGTTTCTGCTTTGGGGTTTGGGCTAAAGGCATCGCCATAGGGTAAGGGCTGAATGGGGTTGCGATGATGGGAAGGGCATCGGATGCCCTTGAAAAAGCATGGCACATTCGTGGCTCAGACTGGGACCGCAGATCAAATACAATGAGGACACTTCGGCGTACTCTACAGCGGGGCACGCTCGAAGGCCCAAGCCCAAAACGCCTAATCGCCTACACTCTAACCAAAGCCTCATAGGAAGGCTCGGCAGCTTGGTTTGGGTAAGGGCTTTCGGTCGCCAGGGTTCAGTCTCGGCGTGTGGGACGTCCAGTTGAGGAATCAACATGGCACGTTTAGAGCTTAGCGGGTTTAGGTTTAGGGCGCGCTCTGGAGTACAACACACACTCACTTCGAAGCCTTAGACAAAACCGTTACGCGAGGAGATGCAAAAACACAACCAGATCTCTGAAGCCTGAACCCAGAACCCTCAACCCTAAACCTGAACCCTGAACCCTGAATCCTCAACCCTAAACCCTAAACCCTAAACCTAAACCCTAAACCCTAAAACCCTAAACCCGAAACCCTAAATCCAGAACTCTAAGTCGCGGCTGCAGCCCTGAAACCAGAGCTTCTGACCCTGAGCAGCCTGAATCCTAGATCCACGGTTCAGAGTTCAGGGTTCAGGGTTCAGGGCTTAGGGCTTAGGGTTTAGGGTTTAGGGCTTAGGGTTTAGGGTTTAGGGTTTAGGGTTTAGGGTTTAGGGTTTAGGGTTTAGGGTTTAGGGTTTAGGGTTTAGGGTTTAGGGTTTAGGGGTAGGGTTTAGGGTTTAGGGTTTAGGGTTTAGGGTTTAGGGTTTAGGGTTTAGGGTTTAGGGTTTAGGGTTTAGGGTTTAGGGTTTAGGGTTTAGGGTTTAGGGTTTCGGGCCCTGGGGATCCTCCCCCCAGAAGCCGAAAGGCGCAGCGGAGATCGGCGCCTTTCGTGTCCTCAGTTCCAGGAGTTCAGGCTGCCAAGGCCAGGCATGTTTAGGGTTGAGGGTTGAGGGTTTAGGGTTTAGGGTTTAGGGTTTAGGGTTTAGGGTTTAGGGTTGAGGGTTTAGGGTTTAGGGTTTAGGGTTGAGGGTTTAGGGTTTAGGGTTGAGTGTTGAGGGTTTAGGGTATCTCGGGTACTTTATCATCATTGCGTATGGAGTATGAGGAGACACTAAGGTCTTCTCAAACCCCCGCACACCAGCCGAATCCCGCTTCGCAGGAACCCCAAAATCTAAAGCCCCAAAGCCTTAATCCCTGCAGCTTGGATTCAGGGGGTTGCGAGGGCTTAGGGTTTAGGGTTTAGGGTTTCGGGTTTAGGGTCTTGGGGGATTAGGGTTTTAGAGTCTGGGTTTGAGGGGTGGAGGGGTCAATGTGTGTGTGTGTGTGCCGACGAGCGACGCTGAGGTTGAGGAAAGGGCCTTGGCGTGCATTTCTGAAAGGGTTTTGGGTTTGGGGTTTAAGGTTTAGGGTTTAGGGTTTGGGGTTGAGGGTTTGCGGTTTGGGGTTTGGGGTTTGGGGTTTGGGGTCTGGGGTTTGGGGTTTGGGGTTTGGGGTTTGGGGTTTGGGGTTTGGGGTTTGGGGTTTGGGGTTTGGGGTTTGGGGTTTGGGGTTTGGGGGTTGGGGTTGGGGTTTGGGGTTTGGGGTTTGGGGCTTGGGGCTTGGGGTTTGGGGTTTGGGGTTTGGGGTTTGGGGTTTGGGGTTTGGGGTTTGGGGTTTGGGGTTTGGGGTTTGGGGTTTGGGGTTTGGGCGCGAGCCGCGTTTAACGACGCATGAACATTCGTGACACCTCTGAACTCTGAACCCCAAGTGCCTTGACTGTTCCGTCCCTCAGAAATTCTTGAGATGCAACTAAGGCTTTAGAGTTTAGGGTTTAGAGTTTAGGCTCGGGCGCGAAAGCCCCAGACCACCCAAGACAACCCCGCCCGCCCCCCCCCCCGCCCCTACCCGAAGCCCCAAATCCTGAACCCTAAACCCTGAACCTGTTAACACCGTTAGAACCCGTTTTGAGATCCGTCAAGCCCCTTCTTGGGTCTCGGAGCCCCGCACAGCCCAGTTTCAGATTACCCGAAACCCTAAACCCTAAACCCTAAACCCCAGATATGATTTCATTCTCATTTCCCTAAACCCTAAACCCTAAACCCTAAACCCTAAACCCTAAACCCTAAACCCCAAGAACCTTAGAGAAGCTTAGGGAGCCTTAGGGAGTAAAGGGGGGTATTAGGGAACCTTGGGTTACATAACCCCCCTTGAACCCTCCTCCTCCCTCAAGAACCCTATCATCAGACAGATCTGAAGGCTTAGGCCTCTGAAAAACCTCTGAAGGATGGTTTCTGATTAGGGCGTAGGGCTTAGTGCTTAGTGTTCTTGAACCTTTGAACTTTCTTGATGTTGCTTCGGACTGTGGGGGCCCCCCCTAGATTACTGTAGCATATCAAAAAAAAGGTTTAGGGCCTAGGGCTTCAGGGGGTTGCGTCAAAGGGCTTCAGTGGACTGTAAGCTCCGGGTTAGGGTTTCGGGTTTAGGGTTTAGGGTTTAGGGTTTAGGGTTTAGGGTTTAGGGTTTAGGGTTTAGGGTTTAGGGTTTAGGGTTTAGGGTTTAGGGTTTAGGGTTTAGGGTTTAGGGTTTAGGGTTTAGGGTTTAGGGTTTAGGGTTTAGGGTTTAGGGTTTAGGGTTTAGGGTTTAGGGTTTAGGGTTTAGGGTTTAGGGTTTAGGGTTTAGGGTTTAGGGTTTAGGGTTTAGGGTTTAGCAGCTTTTTCGCCAGCAACCTGCGGCCCTGAGTCTCCGAACCAAAAGCACAGAATTCAGCCTCGGCGCCGTTGTCGCGGATCTCCTGGAAGCTCTCGCAGTTCATCTCGGGCTCCTCAGCCAAGTGGGCCCAAAGCCCTAAACCCTAAACCCTACATCCTAAACCCTAAACCCTAAACTAAACCCTAAACCCTAAACCCTAAACCCTAAACCCTAAACCCTAGACCCTTAAACCCTAAACCCTAAACCCAAGCGGTTCGGTTGGATTCCCCGCCCTGACCCTGCACCCGCAAATTCCTGCTGCAAGCTGCAATCATGATCATACACTTGAAAACTACATATCTATAGGACTTATATGACTGTGACTTTTGGAATGTAGCTGGGGAGAAGGGGGAAGTAAATATAACACGAGACGAAGGGACCTCAGGCTTCGAAGAGCCCGACAAGAACTTCGCAGTAACCCTCAACCCCACACTCCAAAACGTGAAGAACAGGCATGAGCCTCAGATGTCGGACCATGAGCTCTACTTTTCTGAGGTGTCACCAGGTAATTTAAGGGTTCCTTGAGCTTCCACCACCCTAAACCCTAACCCCTCTAAACCCTAAACCCTAAACCCTAAACCCTAAACCTCAAACCCTAAACCCTGATCCCTGAACTCGATAGCCATGGTCCCCTTGCCGCCATGGCGCCAGAACGCCTTGGGCGCTGACTTTGGGCTTCACCTTCTTCTCCTGAGCTTCGTCCACACACCCTAAACCCTAAACCCCAAACCCTAAACCCTAAACCCTAAACCCTACAGGGTACAGGGTCGCCCGTCTCAACTTTTCACGCTCCGTATTATGAGGATCTCCCGAAGGCCATCCTTAAGAGCACCTTCGAGGTGCAACAAGGGCGGGTTTAGGGCTTATAGGGTTTAGGGTTTAGGGCTTAGGGCTTAGGGCTTAGGGCTTAGGGCTTAGGGCTTAGGGCTTAGGGCTTAGGGCTTAGGGGTTATGGGTTATGGGTTAGGGGTTAGGGCGTAGGGGTTCGGGTTTAGGGTTAATTATATATGGGTGGGGGGGGGTCAATTTGATATGTATTCGGCGATGGGTGTTCCGAAATGCCGGGTGAAGTCAGCTAGGCCGCGCTACGGAGTTGCAGGGTGTCGTTCTCTTTGAACCAGAGTGAATGCTCGTTGAGTGGCGGGCATGAGCTAGCATAGAGTTTAGGGTTTAGGGTTTAGGGTTTAGGGTTTAGGGTTTAGGGTTTAGGGTTTAGGGTTTAGGGTTTAGGGTCTAGGGTTTCACACCACTCAACGCTCCATTTCTTAGATTCTCGCTGTTGCCGTAGGTTGCTTTCTGACTTGACTCGTTGGTTCAGAATCGACATCAACCAGAATCTCGCATTTGTGCGAGCACCCGTCTCCTCGAAATACAGATGCCCCAGGCCCAAAACCCGAGAACATTCGAAACGCCCCCCCCTCCCGGCCTGTTTGGTCGTTTGGGGCATGTAAAGTAGGGCTCTTGTAGGCCCTAAGCCCACAGCTGTAAACCCCCTAACCGCAAAACCCCAACGCAAAAAACCCAAAAAAACCCGAACCCCGAGCCCCTAAACCTTGAACCCTAAACCCTAAACCCTAAACCCTGAACCCTAAATCCTAAACCCTAAACCCTAAACCCTGAAACCTGAACCCTGAACCCTGGCCCTCCCTCCCCAAAGTCACCACTGAGGCCAGCGCGTACTCGGCGAGAAGGATGGGGGGAAAGTTCGTCAGAACGCGGCTCGCCATCTCTCTGTAGGAGGCCTATTTCAGGCACCAAGAACTACAGCGGAGACTTGTAGGGTTTAGGGTTTAGGGTTTAGGACTTAAGGCTTAGGGCTTAGGGCTTAGGGCTTAGGGCTTAGGGCTTAGGGCTTAGGGCTTAGGGCTTAGGGCTTAGGACTTAGCATTCAAACTCACAGAACCCCTGATCTACACCGGTTTCAGCGGGTCCGCAAACCCTAACCCCCAAACCCCAAACCCCAAACCCAAACCCCAAACCCCAAACCCCAAACCCCAAACCCCAAACCCCAAACCCCAAACCCCAAACCCTAAACCCTAAACCCTAAACCCCAACCGCCAAAAACCCAAAACCCGAAGCCCCTGCCTCAAGCATGTTGCGCACCGTGCGGCCGTTTCCGTTGGCGCGGTTCTCCTCTTTCTCACAGTCCTGCTCCCACTGCGGGGCTCTCTAAACCCTAGAACCCTCGATCCCTAAAATTCTAGAACCCTAAACTTCTAGAACCCTAACCCCTGCAGACCTACCCTAAACCCTAAACCCTATACCCTAAACCCTAAACCCTAAACCCTAAACCCTAAACCCTAACCCCTAAACCCTAAACCCTAAACCCTAAACCTGCACCACGGGGACTATGGCTTCGGGTTTCCCCCCCAAGTGTCCTCGGCGTCGCAGCAGCCAGTCCGGAAGCGGATCGATGCTGACATCCACCCACAAACATCCTGTGAACAGCTTCTGCGGTTTGGGGTCTTTAGGGTATAGGGTTGAGGGTTTAGGTTTAGGGTTGAGGGTTGAGACGTTGACGGTTTAGGGCGGTGGGTCGTCAGCTTCGGATTTACGGCTTTTGGCTTAGGACTTGGCCCTAAACCCTAAACCCAAAACCCTAAACCCTACTGTAAACCGCCTAAACCCTAAACTTGGGTCCTGGACTCGACGTTGTGTTCCAGCTCTGGTCTAATTGTAGACTCGTTTCTTGGGGCGAAACCCTGCTTGTATAGGTGGTACACAGTCATATGAAACATGAGGTGCCCCAAGAAAGGAACCGGTCCAGGTATGTACGAAGCGTCGCCCTCCCCTGGAGCTTGAAAGGTTTTGGAGTGCTTGGATCTCAGGTGCCTAGGTGCAAGGTTTAGGGTTTAAGGTGTCGGGTTTAGAGTTTAGGGTTTAGGGTTGTAGGATTTCACATTGAAGGGGTACGGGTCTAACCCTGAACCCTGGAGGGTTTGAGGGTGGAGGCGCGCAAACTGGCACGAAGGAGCAAAGTGTCCTTTGCAAGACCTGCCGCGCAGACGCCACTGGACTTGTCCTCCAAGGCCAAACGCTGAACTCAACAAATCTTCAACCGTAAAACCTGGACGACCTTAAACCCTGCAAGCCTCCCTTGAACGCGAAGCCCTGAAAAGGTCTCGGTTTCGGGGTGTCGGGTTTCGGGTTTCGGGCGTGGGGTTCAGGGTTAAACCTTCTTGTTTGTTGTGAGGACACCTTTGGGCACTGACCACGCCTTTGCACAGCTCTTGAGGCTCTCAACCCCAGCGCCCTTAGCGTGCTTCGGGGCTGTCCGGGAGGATCGCCACGTTCTTGGACTTCATGAGGCTTTCTCCGATCTCGACGAGCTCGGGGCAGGTGTAGTCGCCTGGTTAAAATATGGGGCTTCTGTGGGGTTCATATTATGGGCTTTAGGGACGTTTTCAAGGCCCTCAGCCTTCCTCTCCTGGATGGTTTGCGGGTGTCACACGGTCCGTGCACACCATCACACAGGATTTGCCATGGTGTGCACCCCAGGTTCACGCTCCTTCCCTACCCACATCTCGGCACCTCGAAACCCTAAACCCTACACCCTAAACCCTAAACCCTAAACCCTAAACCCTCAGAAGCTACCCCCCGAAGTCGCACGCAAGGGGCGGAAGTAGAACTCGAAGGCCACGCGCGACTTGAATCCAGGGTTCGCGGCGATGAACTCCATCATCTCGGCAGCATAGCCTTGAAAGTTGAGGGCTTCCTGCTTAGGGTTTAGGGTTTAGGGTTTAGGGTTTAGGGTTTAGGGTTTAGGGTTTAGGGTTTAGGGTTTAGGGTTTAGGGTTTAGGGTTTGGGGTTTGGGGTTTAGGGTTTGGGGTTTAGGGTTTAGGGTTTAGGGTTTAGGGTTTAGGGTTTAGGGTTTAGGGTTTAGGGTTTAGGGTTTAGGGGTTCCTTAGGGGTTCGCCGCGATTTCTTGTTTTCTGCTTCGGGTTTTGGGGTTTTGGGTTAGGGCTTGGGAGGGGGGGGGGGGGGGTGATTTGAGTCGACTGGCTTAGGACTGATTCTCCCGAACAAGAATAGAGTGTAGACCCCTTGCCCTAGTCCCAATAAAGAACTATACGTACTGGTTCTTAGTGGGGGAGGGAGTTGGGTACCTTGTATAAATCCTTTAAAAGGGCCATATTGGGGCGGGGGGGGGGGGATTTAGGGCGCCTAAGTCCCCTCACCCCCTACGAAGAGACAGTGCAAGCCTGCAAAAAACAGAAACGTGCGCTGCCTGAAGCATGGTGGGGGCCGCCTACGGAGAGAACCCCCCAAGTTTGCCTGAATTACACCCAAGGAGCTCCAAACCCTAAACCCTAAACCCTAAATCCTAAATCCCAAACCCAAAACCCTAAACCCTAAATCCGAAAAGCTGGAGGGCCCCATTAAAACAGGTGTCCCTCATTGAGTCCCTGAAGAACCGGCTTCGGCATGCTGCGCCCACATCCTGGAGACCCTAACCCTAAACCCTAAACCCTGAACCCTAAACTCTAAACCCTAAACCCTAAACCCTAAACCCTAAACCCTAAACCCTAAACCCTAAAACCCTAAACCCTAAACCCTATGAGCTTTGCAGTTCTTATGGCTTCTTATCTAGGATGGCCCTTAACAACCCTCTGACAAATATTCCTGACTATGATCCTCTTGCACCCACTAAGGGTAAGTACAACATATCCCAACCCAGACCCCCCTGAAAGGATCCAAAAGCAAAGAACCCCCAAATAGTACCCTCTACTACTATTGGGCCATTCTTCGGAACCCTTAAGGGGATCTATTTCTTGGATATCCCTAAACCCTAAACCCTAAACCCTAAACCCTAAACCCTAAACCCTAAACCCTAAACCCTAAACCCTAAACCCTAAACCCTAAACCCTAAACCCTAAACCCTAAACCCTAGCTATGCTGCATACAGAAGCCGGCCAAGATCACGACCACCTTGTCGCGGTGATCCTTCGTCTCGAGGGCAGGGCAACACGAGGGTGGACCCGAAGTATGGGTTTAGGGTTTAGGGTTTAGGGTTTGGGGTTTGGGGTTTGGGGTTTGGGGTTTGGGGTTTAGGGTTTTGGGGTTTAGGGTTTAGGGTTTAGGGTTTAGGGGTTTGGGGTTTGGAGTTTGGGGTTTAGGGTTTTGGGGTTTGGGGTTTGGGGTTTGGGGTTTAGGGTTTAGGGTTTAGGGTTTAGGGCTTAGGGTTTAGGGTTTAGGGTTTAGGGCTTAGGGTTTAGGGTTCAGGGTTCAGGGTTCAAGGGCCTTCCTCTAGCCTGACACGAAGAGGGGGGGCGTTCAGTTCGAGGGCTTCTGAACCTCAACACGTGACTCTCCTCCATCAACTTGATGAGGGTGTCCACCGCCTCATGGCCGTACATGTCCTGCTCTCTTCCATCAGATCGCGCCCGACACTCCACCCAAGCGACCGACATAGCTGAACACCCCACTGAGATCCTTCGACCTGAACGCCCTCCTCAAAAACCCAGCAAGAAGGGCTGCCAGGCCGAGATTTTTGCCCTGAACCCTACGAAAATCCAAACCCTACAGCCCGCACAAAAAAAGGCTTAGAAGGACCACAGCAGGCCCCATGGACTCTAGACTCTGAACCCCAAACCCTGAACCCTAAACCCTAAGCCCTGAACCCTAAACCCTGAACCCTGAACCCTGAACCCCACAAACCCTAAACCCTAAACCCTAAACCCTAAACCCTAAACCCCGCACCTCCGAGCCGGGGTTGACCAAGGAATAGGCCTGCCCGCTCGTGTTCAGCTCAAAGGTTAACAGGAGCTCAGGTAGGGTTTAGTGATTTCGGGGTGTTTAGGGTTTAGGGTTTAGGGTTTAGGGTTTAGGGTTTAGGGTTTAGGGTTTAGGGTTTAGGGTTTAGGGTTTAGGGTTTAGGGTTTAGGGTTTAGGGTTTAGAGTTTAGGGTTTAGGGTTTAGGGTTTAGGGTTTAGGGTTTTCGGGGTGTTTTTGGTTTAAATAGGGGTCTAGAGCTCAGGATTCCTGGGGTGTAGGGCTTGTAAGGCCTATTGGGTTTAAATCGGGGTTTAGGGTTTAGGGTTGGGGGTTTGGGGTTTAGGGTTTAGGGTTTTGGGGTTTGCAGGGTTTACAGGCTTTAGGGAGGCCTAAACACCTAAGCCCTCCGAAAAGCCCGAAACCCTCTAACCCGCACCCCGCACGACTTCGCAGTCCAGAGTTGCCCCAAGCAACAAAGCATCCCAAAAAGCTGCCTTGAAGCATTTTTAGGGTAAAAAAGGGGCCTCATTAGCTAGAATAGGGTTTTGGGGTCATTAGAGTATAAATATAAAGGGATCCTAAGGAAATACTAGTGGAAATTATTCCGACCCCTATATTACAAGCTTGAGGGTGTTTAGGGTTTAGAGTTTAGGGTTTAGGGTTTAGGGTTTAGGGTTTAGGGTTTAGGGTTTAGGGTTTAGGGTTTAGGGTCTAAGACCGTGCCTCATCGATGAAGAGCACACCTCCCTTGGCTTTCCTCAGTGTGCCCAAAGGGGCTCGAGGAAGTTTTGGAAGAGGGTTTAGGAATTAGGGTTTAGGGTTTAGGGTTTCGGGGTTAGGGTTTGAGATTTTTGGGTTTAGGGTAGGAGTTTAGGCTTCAAACCCCCAAGCCTGCAATCCTCAAGCCCGAAACTCCCCTCCGACGGAAGCTCCTAAATTCCTGCCTGAACCCCTAAACCCCTACTCCCCGAACCCCTCCCCTAGACCCTAAACCCTAAACCCTAAACTCCTAGACCCTAGTCCCTAAACCCCAAACCCTAAACCCTAAACTCCTAGACCCTAAACCCTAAACCCTAAACCCGAAACCCTAAACCCTAAACCCCCTCAACTGCTCCAGGGATCTCGAAGACTTTGGCGACCTGCAGCGCCGTCTCCCCCAGATGCTGCCCGACGAGGTCGGCCCGACTCACCTCCGTGACCTCCGCAACCGGCGGCTTTTTGAAGCTGCAGGGTTTAGGGTTTAGGGTTTTGGGTTTTGGGTTTTGGGTTTTGGGTTTAGGGTTTAGGGTTTAGGGTTTAGGGTTTAGGGTTTAGGCCCATTAAACCCTGAACCCTAAAGCCTACATAAAGCCCTCAAACCCTCAAACCCTCAAACCCTCAAACCCGAAACCCTGAGCCATTCAGAGCCTCCACCCTCTACCATAAACCCTCCACCCTAAGCCTTGGGGTTTAGGGTTTTGTGTCTGGGCTCTGGGGGCTTCGGGTTTAGGGTTTAGGGTTTAGGGTTTTGGGTTTAGGGTTTAGGGTTTAGGGTTTAGGGTTTAGGGTTTAGGGTTTAGGGTTTAGGGTTTAGGGTTTAGGGTTTAGGGTGCAGGCCCTGCACCCTGGCGCCAAGTGACCAGGCTTCCTTCCCGGGAACTTGAGATGGCCCCCATGGCCACCTTCGTGACGGCTCCCAGAAAAACACTAGGGGTTCTTAGGGTTTAGGGTTTAGGGTTTAGGGTTTTTGGTTTAGGGTTTAGGTTTTTCAGAAGCGGGGTACTGGGGCCGGAGTCACAGTGACAAACTACGTAGCTGCAGTTCTCGGTCTGAGCCCAAGGCGCCTGTTATACAGGAACTTGTGTCAATGTAGCTGCACTCGAATACATGACTGTGCATGCCTATACAAATGTTCTGCATACAGCTCCTACTCAACGCGAAATCCAACTCGGCGCCTCTAAACAGGAAAATCTCACAAGGGTTTAGGGTTTAGGGTTTAGGGTCTAGGGTCTAGGGTTTAGGGTCTAGGGTTTAGTGAGGCTTCTTAGGCAGTTCTCGGCCTAGAATCTCCCGTGGCCTATAAAGACCAAAAACCAGGTGCCTTTTCTTGCTTAACCGCTGGTCAGGGCTCGGGGATTTAGGGTTCGGGTGTGGCTAACGTGGCGCGGAGTTTGGGGTTTGGCCTAGGGGGTTTGGGATTTGGGTTTTGGGCCTATAAGGGCTTCGGAGCCTAACACGGATCCTGAACTACCCCTCTCTCCCCTCCGCCCACCTTATCTGCCCAAGGGTATTGGGCCTTGATTTCCAGCAACCCCAAACCCTAAACTGCCCAAACCTCAACCCCTATACCCTAAACTGCCCCAACCCTAAACCCTAAACCCCAAAACCCCTAAACCCCCCTAGACCCCTAGACCCCTAAACCCCTAAACCCCTAAACCCCTAAACCCCTAAACCCCTAAACCCCTAAACCCCCAAACCCAAACCCCTAACCTAAACCCTAAACCCGCAAACCCCTAAACCCCGAAACGCCTAAGCCCTAAACCTAAACCCCTAAACCCCGAAACCCTTAACCCGGAAACCCTAAACCCTCAAGACCAGGATGAATAGAAATTGTATGTGGTATCACTGTGAGTTTACACAGATGAAGTTGTCTGTCTAAACAGCTGCCAAGCCGGGCTTCGGTAAATTCGGGAGGCCAATCTTTCAATTCACCTCTGCCTCTGAAGACGAACCTATAGGAAGAATGAAACCACCCGCGCCAAAGCAAAAACCGAAACCCGCCCAAACTTTCGCCCAAAACTCCGGACACAAACCCTATACAATTTCCAAAGCAAAAACCAAAACCCGCTCAAAACCTGATCAACACTTTCGCACAAAACTCCGGACACAAGCCCTATACAATTTCTACGAACCCTAAACCCTAAACCTAAACCCTAAACCCTAAACCCTAAACCCTAAACCCTAAACCCTAAACCCTAAACCCTAAACCCTACCTGGGTCGCCGAACCCGTGGTTAATTATTGGTTGTGTTGGGTCCGCTAAACCCTAAACCCCTAAATTCTCCAGGGCCAGGAGCCATCAGCTCGCCCACGATCCTGGCCACCACAGTCTTGCCTGACCCAGCGGTTGGTTTGGGGTTTGGGGTTTAGGGTTTAGGGTTTAGGGTTTAGGGTTTAGGGTTTAGGGTTTAGGGTTTAGGGTTTAGGGTTTAGGGTTTAGGGTTTAGGGTTTAGGGTTTAGGGTTAGGGCTTAGGGTTTAGAGTTTAGGGTTCAGAGTTTAGGGCTTATTTGAAATTTTTAACGGTTCAGGTCCGGGGAAGGTTTCGAGGAAAGCTTATGTTTGACTTTTCCTTCGGCCAATAGAAAAAAGCATATTTGGACCCCATTGTCCCTCTCTCTTCACTTGTGAAGAAAGAACCACCTTTTTTAACTTTAGAATAATTTCCAAGGTGCAGGGGCTTGAGGGTTTAGCAGGTTTAGGGCTTATGCAGAACTACCTAGTTAAACACCTAAGCCACTTGAAATTTCATTGTCCCTCCGTAAGACAACCTCCAAGCCCGAAACCCCCCCACCCCTGGCTGGTTAGTAATAAGTGAGTGAATGGGGGCCCTACATAAGCCCTTAAAGGGTCTACGTAGGGCCCTTCTTCCCCCACTCAGAACCAGGGGGACCTGTGCCAGGGTTGCCCAGGAAGGACATGTGCAGCGACTGCTCCCCGATGCTGGGAAGGCCAAGACGCGCGCGCTCCCTCTTAAACTCCACCTCAGGACGCAGTGGGCGCTTGGATAACCCAACGCTTGAGGGCTCAAAGTTTAAGGGCTTGAGGTTTACGGGTTGAGGGCTTCAGGGTTTAAGGTCCTAGGGCTTAAGGGTTTCAGGCTTTAAGGGTTGAGGGCTCTAAAGGCATCTGCAGGGAGGGTCAAGGACATCCAACGCGGGTTTGGGAGGCTTGGGGGGGTTGGCTTCGCCTGCCGAGATTCCTCTTCATGGCCCTAGGCTTCAGGATTCGCGTTCTGGGAACACACTGTCAAGCAGACCATATAAACACGTTTAGATACCTAGACTAGTACTCAAACCTTATCCGATCTCTTGTCGACACAATGCTGACACGTTGACACGATCTAGTTCGTGAAAAGTACGAGCCTAGAGACCTAAATCCCTAGAACCGTAACACCTAAGCCCCTTAAGCCCCCTAGAACCCTAATTACGACGTTCTCTCATGGACTCTGTGGTTCGGGGCCTGCGCCGTGAGCTCGCGCATCTGGGCCTGTCACATGGAGGAGCGGAGTATTTTTCGGCTGCTCGGGCGCAAGGGTCATGCGACAGCTGCTCTGGCACGAAGAAACCCGGGTTTAGGGTTTAGGTTTTGGGGTTTGGGGTTTAGGGTTTAGGGTTTAGGGTTAAGGGTTTAGGGTTTAGGGTTTAGGGTTTAGGGTTTAGGGTTTAGGGTTTAGGGTTTAGGGTTTAGGGTTTAGGGTTTAGGGTTTTAGGGTTTAGGGTTTAGGGTTTAGGGTTTAGGGTTTAGGGTTTAGGGTTTAGGGTTTAGGGTTTAGGGTTTAGGGTTTAGGGTTTAGGGTTTAGGGTTTAGGGTTTAGGGTTTAGGGTTACGCGCAAATGTTCCCAAACTGTTAAAGTTCCGGTTTGTTTTGGGTCAGTGGTGGCATTTCGGGCAGAGCTTTGCGGCGAATTGCTGCCGTGAACGGCGCCCTTATAAACCCTAAACCCTAAACCCTAAACCGTAAACCCTAAACCCTAACCCCTAAACCCTAAACCCTAAACCCTCAACCCTAAACCCTAAACCCTAAACCCAAACCCAAACCCCAAACCGTGAACCCGTAAACCGTATAAACTTGGGATGTTCCCCGTTCTACTAACCCCCTATGATACCCCCTATGCCCTATGAAGGACTGTTTGTATACCGGGAGAATAGCCCAAGTGTAAACCCTAAACCCTAAACCCTAAACCCTAAACCCTAAATTAACCCTAAACCCTAAACCCTAAGCACCCGAAAGGCTGGGATGCCTTCACTTCGGTGAGACCCACCAGGCTGTCCAGCTCCCGCATGATCTCCTCGACCAGGAGGTGTTTCAGGGGCCCTAAACCCTAAACCCTAAACCCTAAACCCTAAACCCTAAACCCTAAACCCTAAACCCTAAACCCTAAACCCTAAACCCTAAACCCTAAACCCTAAACCCTAAACCCTAAACCCTAAACCCTAAACCCTAAACCCTAACCCTGAACCCTGAAAGCTTGGGTTGGGGAGCGTGTGTGATTGTGGGCCTGCGGTACCTCTTAACTTCAGCAGGGCGCAAAACCCTTTAAGGGGTAGGGTTTCGGGGTTAGGGTTCAGGGCCAGGATTTTAATTTAGGTCCAGGATCAGTCAAAAATCATGTCGCTGACAACCCTGAACTGAACTCCATAAGCACATAAATACCACCATGATAGCCTTGGGCACGATGGTCATTGTCAGTATCCCCAAAAGGACGTGTGTAGAAAGTTGCCCCTAAATCCTAAGCCTCAGACCCGAAACCCTTAACCCTAAGCTTGCCCTAAGCAGATGCCAAATCCTCAGAAATCGGAACCACACAAAGACATGAACAAACGATGCAACTCCTACTTCTGAGGGAGGCGCCAAAATACAAACACACAAACACTGCTTGTGAGAGATGTGAGGATACAAACAGACAAACAACACCCAGCACCCTAATTCTTAACCAGTGGGCTGCCTCCTGTGCTTATACGTCTCCTTCTCTTTCGGGGCATACAGCACGCCCCATGAAAATGAATGCCAGACACCGTAATGACTACACAAAAAACACATACAAAAGCAGTTAAACCCGATGAAACAACTGAGGAAGAATTGCGGATCAAGCCCCAAAACGTTCAGAAACAACATGCGAAAAACAAAGCGGCCAAAAAGAAACCCTGGCAAACCCAAAACAGCCCAACAGGCCCCAAAAGGCCTGCTAGCCCCAACCAGCAAAGAGTCCCAACGAAAAGAAGCCCTAAACCCCAAACCCTCAAAAAGCCCCAAAAGGCCTAAACACATACCCCAAACCTCTCCTTAAACCCCAAACCCCAAACCCCCAAACCGAAAATCTAAACCCCTAAACCCTAAACCCTAAACACCCCGAAGCCCCAAAATACCTAAACCCCTCATTAAACCCCAAACCCCCAACACGGAACTCCAAACCCTGCAAACACCCCGAAGCCCCCAAAAATACCCCAAACCCATGGCCCTAAACCCTAAACCCTAAACCCTAAACACCCCGAAGCCCCCAAAAACACCCCCAAGCCCGTGGCCCTGCCCTGCGGAAGCCTCCGGCGTCCGCTGCGCCAAGCGGCGGCTGCTGTTTGTCGGAACGCCTGAGTTTTGGTGACTTCTGGGAGTTTTTGCGAAGGTTTAGGGTTTAGGGTTTGGGGGCTTAATTCGGGCTTAGGGTTCAGGGTTCAGGGTTCAGGGTTTAGGGTTTAGGGTTCAGGGGTTTAGGGGATTAGGGGTTTAGGGGTTTAGGGGCTTAGGGGCTTAGGGGCTTAGGGTTAAGGGCTTCGGGCCCCAAAGAAGCAGCAGCTCCCCACGTCCACTCCCACTGCGCGTGCGCGCGCGGCGCTTTGAAGCCGCGGCGCCATGGATCCGGGCCCAGGCAGGGCCCCAGAAAGTTAGGAGAAGCAGCAGCAGGGGAGTCGGTAACACGTAGCCCATGGCTGGATCTGGCAAACCGCGAGCCACAGTGGCTGAGGGCACCAAACTCAGGGGGGGGGGGATCCGTTTTCGGGTTCGGAGGCCTCTCAGGTTGCGGGTTTTTGGGGTTTTTGGGGCTTTAGGCTTTGGTTAGGATTTAGGGTTTAGCGTCTTGGGTTTAGGGAATACAGACTCTCAAGGATGGGACACCTGATGCCCCAAAACGAACGACTCCACACACCTCCGAAGCCGCTAGATCTCCTAGAGGACCAGGCTACTGAGTCATGTTTCAGGGCCCACCTTCTGAAACCCTCAGCCCGAAAACCCCATAAACCCTAGACCCTAAACCCTTTGGAGGTTTAGAGCTCCAAGCTTGCGAGTGTTGAGGGTTTTCATGACATCGGGCTTGACGCCTGAGACTTTCTACAGGGTTTAGGGTTTTGGGGTTTTGGGTTTAGGGTTTAGGGTCTAGGGATTGCGTGTTAGGATGCCCCTTTTCGACGCCCGCAGTCGACCGATCGGGTCTGCGCAACTTCTGCTGCGACAGATTCCCCCTGTGGGGTCGCGCCTCTGCGCGTAGGTCGCGCGAGGTCGGGCTCACCGCGTTGCGGGGCACTGTCGATGCAATGGGGCTCTGGGATTCGAGCAGAAAGCCACCAACCCATAAAACCTCGGTTTAGGGTTTAGGGTTTAGGGTTTAGGGTTAGGGCTTTAGGGTTCGGGAACGGGGCGTGAGTTCAGTGCATCTGTACACTGTGCTGTACCATCCCGCTTGCGGGGAAGTGCGTGCACTGACTGACGACTCTCCCCTGAACAAAAGGCGAACGCAAGGAAACCCTAAACCCTAAACCCCTTGAACAAAAGGTGAACGCCGGTGCAGTGGAAAAGACCCCTCTCCGAACCGGGCAGAAGCCACCAACCCTTAACCCTAAGCCCTGAATCCTAAACAGCCCACCCTCCCTCCCACCCTCCCCCCTCCCACCCCCACACCCACACCCACACCCCTTCCCAAATTCATATACCCTGAATCTCGAATCAAAAGATCCGTCAGGCCCATACAAAACCCGATGCCCTCCCAGCTTCAACCGAAGACCCTGAATCCCTCCTAAAACCTGTCAACGCTACGACCCTAAAACCCTCAAACCTTAAACCCCCCAAAACCAAAAACCCAAAACCCCCAAACCCAAAATTCCCTGAGTCCCAAACCCTAAACCCTAAACCCTCAATTCTAAACCCTAAATTCTAAACCCTAAACCCTAAACCCTAAACCCTAAACCCTAAACCCTAAACCCTAAACCCTAAACCCTAAACCCTCAACTCACGGCTATCAAGCCGTACATCCTGAAGCCGCTGGCGAGAGCAATCTTCGGAGGGCGGGGGCGACTCTCAGGCCAGCTCCCGGTGCTCCGTCTCCCTTAGTGGCCGGTTTAGGGTTTAGGGTTGGAACCGGACATAGCTCTCCTTTAGGGTTTGGGGTTTCGGGTTTAGGGTTTAGGGTTTAGGGTGGTGCTCCATCTCCCTTGATGGTTTAGGGCTTTAGGGCTTTAGGAGGGGGGGGTTTAATAGGGCTTTGGGCGGTTTAGGGTTTAGGGTTTAGGGTTTAGGGTTTAGGGTTTAGGGTTTAGGGTTTAGGGTTTAGGGTTTAGGGTTTAGGGTTTAGGGTTTAGGGTTTAGGGTTTGCTCTCCAGGTACCTGCTGCCCATGAACCCCCCCCCCCTCCCTGTTAAGAACCCGATGAGAAGAACCCGGTCCAACCTTCGCTGAAGCTCGTCCGAGCCCACCCACAAAGGCCACAAACACCCGCTTCGATTCAACTGACATCCTACCCTGAACCCTCAGAAAAAAAAAAAAAAAAGGAATAAACCCTAAACCCTTTTCCCTAAGCCCTAAACCCTAAGCCCTAAACCCTAAACCCTAAACCCGAAACCCTAGACCCTGAGCCTCGCATCCTCATCCCTCAGCCTCTGCACCCTGCGCCCGCCCACGGAATGAGCTGCCTACAAACCCGAAAGAGACCCTCAACCACGCGGAAACAAACAAAAAAAACGAAACCCTAGCACTCAAAAACATGATTCCCAAATAGGCCGTAAGCCCTCAACCCTTGAAACACCTTCTTAAGGACCCCTCAAACCCCCCTAAACCCTAAACCCTAAACCCTAAACCCTAAACCCTAAACCCTAAACCCTCCGAAACCCTCCTAAGCACTAAACCCTAAACGCCAACGAAAAGGCCTCGCCCTCTCTCTGAGGCCCTGGGCCAGTCCCACAAGTTGTGCTTCAGCGTCCGGAGGCCCTGTCAGGCTTTGTGGTATACGCTTTGGGAGTCGGGTCTGCAAGATATAGGGTTTAGGGTTAGGGCTTAGGGTTAGGGTTTAGGGTTTAGGGTTTAGGGTTTAGGGTTAAGGGTTTAGGGTTTAGGGTTAAGGGTTTAGGGTTTAGGGTTTAGGGTTTTGGGTTTAGGGTTTAGGGTTTAGGGTTTAGGGTTTAGGGTTTCGGGTTTGCAGGATGTCGGGTATATGAGGGCCAAGGATGTCCAGCGATGGATTTGGGAGGCCCAATGCTTCCTGATCCTTAAACTCTTGAAGCCTGCAGCCCTAAACCCGACACCCGAAACCCTACGCCAAATTCTGTAACCCCCCCCCCCCCCCGCCCCCGCCCGACACCCTCAACATACCCACTCAACACTTCAACCCTCTCTCTCCTCCTGATCGTGTCTACCTTCCACCCTGAAACCTGAACCCTTAACCCTAAACCCTACACCCTAAACCCTAAACCCTACACCCCAAATCCAACCTCGGCAGCAGTCAGTACTTCGTAGAAGGGCCTCGAAGCAAAGGATCAGCGCAATGCCCAGGCTGGCCGTTGCGTCCACGCCTAGGGCCCCCCCGCTGCGGTGGAGGGGTTCAGGGTTGAGGGGTTGAGGGGTTGAGGGGCTGAGGGGTTGAGGGGCTGAGGGGTTGAGGGGGTTGAGGGGTGAGGGGTTGAGGGGGTGAGGGGTTGAGGTTGAGGGGTTGAGGGGTTGAGGGGTTGAGGGTTGAGGGTTGAGGGGTTGAGAGGGTTGAGGGGTTGAGGGTTGAGGGGTTTGAGGGGGTTGAGGGGTTGAGGGGTTGAGAGGGTTTGAGGGGTTGAGGGGGTTGAGGGGTTGAGGGGTTGAGGGGTTGAGGGGTTGAAGGGGTTGAGGGGGTTGAGGGGGTTGAGGGGGTTGAGAGGGGTTGAGGTGAGGGGGTTGAGGGGGTTGAGAGGGGTTGAGGTGAGGGGGTTGAGAGGGGTTGAGGGGTTGAGGGGTTGAGGGGTTGAGGGGTTGAGGGGTTGAGGGGTTGAGGGGTTTAGGGCTCGGGTTTGGGGTTTATGGCTTAGGGTTTTGGGTTTAGGGTTAGCTTGGGAGCCGCACAGGGCCATGTGAATTCAGACCCCAAACAGCCCCGAATCTCCAGCCTAGCCCCAACACCCCGCACTTGCAGCTCTAACCAACCTAAACCCTAAACCCTAAACCCTAAACCCTAAACTTCAAACTTCAGACTTCCAACCCGAACCCTGCCAGGGTCTTTCCCGAGAGCCGAACCGGAGACGGCCTTGTCAGGCGTTGAGAATTTGGGCGGTTCAAGGGTTCAGGATTCAGGGCTTAGGGTTTGGGATCTAAGGTTTAGGGTTTAGGGTTTAGGGCTTGGGGCTTAGGGTTTAGGATTTCGGGTTTAGAGGGTTTAGGGCCACTCGGGATATTGAGATTGAGGGGCTTTCCCGGGCCTTCTCCGAAAAACGATTTCGGGCCTTGCTAACGGCGAGTTTGGGGCTTTCAGGGTTGTTTTTGCCCTATATAAGCCCTAAGCCCGAAGCCCGAAGCCCTAAGCCGAGGACTTACACCCTAAACCCTAATCCTTTGGATTCGGGCGCAGGGCAGGAGGGCATAGCCTAAGGCCTGCTCCTTGCATGTTCTGTTAAGAAGCTGCCTTTTGGACTGGAAGCCTCCGGCAACCCTAAACCCTAAACCCTAAACCCTAAACCCTAAACCCTAACGTCCAGCTCTGGGTCTAGGTTGCTTTTTCGGGTGCATGGGTGTTTGAGCTTTTGAGATTCAAGGACTAAGGGAAAAGGGGTTTAGTGCTTAGGGCAAAGCGTTGTGAAATCCTTGAAGCCGTACGTCCTCCCCCAAACCCCAGGGGGGCCTTCGGGTTACCCTCCACGACCTGGCAGAAGAGCGGGAGAGAGGCAGGGAGACCCGAAACTGAACCCCGAGCCCTAAGCTGAAATCTGCAGGGAAGGCTTGGGGGAGGCAATGGGGGGGGGGTTATGGACTAAAGCTTTCGGGGGAAAGGGGGAAGGCTTCGAGCCTTTGCCTTATTTTGGGACATCGGAGGCTTCAGGGGCGAAGGGAGGCAAGCCCTGAACCCTCAACCCTAAGCCCCAAACCCCAAACCCTATACCCTAACCCTAAACCCTAAGCCCCAAGTCCTAAACCCAAACCCCAAACCCCAAACCCTAAACCCTAAACCCTAAACCCCAAGCCCCAAATCCTAAGCCCAAAACCCTAAACCCTAAAACCCCAAGCCCCAAAAACAGCCGAAACCCGAACCCCTGGCGGAAGCCTGCTCGAGCATGGCAGCGATGGCGCAGATCAAAGCCAGGAGGGCACCCAGCCTTTTGGGGGTTTTGGGGTGTAGGGTTTAGGGTTTAGGGTTTAGGGTCGAGGGTTTAGGGTTTAGGGTTTAGGGCTGAGGGTGGGTTTGGGGTTTGGGGCTGAGAGTTTAGGGCTTGGGGTTTAGGGTTTAGGTTTTGGGGCTCTAGATTTAGGCTTGCGGGTTGGGAGTTTGGGGTTTAGGGTTTGGGGGTGAGGTGTGCTTGGAGTGTAGGGGCGGGGGGTTGGAGGTGGCTGGGTTTTTTGGGGCTCAGCCAAAGGAGAGCTCCCAACCACACGGAAAGTCTCCTCTCTCCTCATGACTAGGAATCTCCAGGGCTTGAGGCCAAACCCTAAACCCTAAACCCTAAACCCTAAACCCTAAACCCTACACCCTCAGTGTGGGAAGATGTCAGGGCCTTTGGCTGGGCTTCAGAAAAGGCCAAAGCGGCCCCGGGGATCCGACACAGAGCAGAGGGCGTCCTTCCGCAGCACCTGGCGACAGAGCGTTCGGCGAGCTTTGTAATTTCTAGGGTTTCAGGTTTAGGGTTTAGGGTTGAGGGTCTTAAGTCTTCTAAGAGGTGGAAGGCTCCCGTATGGAGGACTTTTTGGGGGTTTGGGGTTTAGGATTTGAGGTTTCGGGTTCTGAGTGTGGAGAGGAAGCCATGCACTACGCCTCTGAAAGATTTTGGGCGGAGCGCTGTGGCACGACATCCCTAAACCCTAAACCCTAAACCCTCAACCCTCAACCCTAAACCCTAAACCCTAAACCCTAAACCCTAAACCCAGCCTGGCTACCAAGCTGCTTCGACAGCCGATGCTTCCAGACCTCAGTCGCGCTTCATGTGCCCTAGGGGCGGTCAGACCCTGTCCCGCGATGTGCCTGTCCAATCAACACGACCATGTTGGGTTTGCAATGTCTTTATATATACATATATACACATACATATATCTGTATGTATCTATACATACATACATACATACATACATACATACATACATACATACATACATACATACATACATACATACATACATACATACATACATGTATCTGTACTTACATATATACCGATGGCACCTCTGCATGATGAACTTCTATCAGACGTCTATCTCCTTTCAGAGCTGCCGTGGGGGGGCCGCTGAGTGTCTTTATCAGGGGGAAGCTCCAGGCTTATCCGTGGAAAGCTGCAACTTCTGCAAGCTTCGACCATCCTCAGGTCAGGATGCTGCAAGAATTCCCGGAGAAACCTGCGTTGAAATGTCTGTCGCATGCGTAGCGCAGCTCTCAGAGTCCTCACCTTCCCCCACACCAGCTTCCTTTCTTCTGCGTGCACAGTCATGATCTGCTTTCGTTCTGAATGAAATTCGAGCCCTAGCGCGCAAGTGGCCACAAACGTGGCAAACTTAAGACACGGAGAAGAAGAGAATCGGTTTTCATGTGACTTTTTCTAGAAGTCACCTGTAGGCCTGGCGCACTCCTATTCTTTGGCAACGTCCACGTCTCCAGATGGGCGCAAGTCATTGAACTGTAGCCGAAGCCTCCTTCAAGACTATCCCACCAGAAGGGATGCGAAGAAGCCAGCCCATCCATGAACCCTAAACCCTGAACCCTATAAGCCCTCAACCAAAACTGCAAGCAAGCCATCCCCATCTCAGCCCGCAGCAGCCAGGTACATGAAAATGGCCTTACTGGGAAGCAGATTGGGGCTTTTGGGGTTCAGGGTTCGGAATCTAAGTTCAGGTTTTGGGTTCGAGGGTTTGGGGCTTAGATGGGTCTAGTACTTGGGGTTCTGGCATTCAAGGTGAAGCCTAGATTACCACAAGATGTAGGCTTCAGGGTCTTGGGGGTATAGAGTTTTGGGGCTAAGGTTTTAGGGTTTCGGGTTTAGGGTTTGGGGTTCGGGGGCTCAGGGCTTAGGGTTTAGGGTTGCGGGTTTTGAGAACGGACTGGAGCACTCACGGGCTCTTCGCAAGGAAAAATTTCGGGAATCAGATTGCCGGAGGGGATCCCTACACGAGCCTGAGAGAGAGATGCAATGTACTTCATTCACGAAGCGTCCTCCTCGAGCCAAACTCCGAACCCTGAGCAAGCGGTCATTTTGTCCAGTAGGGCCGTGCCCAGAGTCGGAGAACCTTCGAAGACAACTGACAGCAGGGCCGCTGCAAAAAACACACACCCACACACACACACCTCACAACTCAGCCTCACAATCCGAAAGCACAGGGGCGGACCCCCCCACGACCCACCCCGCCACCACCCACCCCCAACAACCCACCCCCAACAACCCACCCCCCACAACCCACCCCTGGTCTGTACTTGGTATTCTTTTGCTTAAAGGGCTCTTCATAGGGAACTCCGGAAGCAGGTTCCCGGCACCTTCAAAGGGTTAGTTCGGGGTATTCGGGACCCGATGCCCTACTTCCCTAGTCCCAAATGCACGTCACCATGCACCTCAACTTCAACTGACACGCCAAGTCCGGGCGGCCCACCCAGAACCCATAAAATCAAAACCCCTAAATCGTAGCCCGACACCAGTTCAAGAGTCCTCCCTGCTCAGGGAAGGTTCACAGGTCCACTTGCTCCATCAAGCGCAGCGCTGCAACCTCATCGTTCGTCGGGGTTAGGGTTGAGGGCTTAGGGATGTCTTCCATGTCGGGAGCCAGTTTGACAAAAAGACAGAAGTGCAACCAGCGTGCCCAGTTCCTGAACCCGTAGCAATACATTACCTCAGACACCGACGCTCCCAAGCGGAGACCCTCAGAACTTCTCACGCAGCTGCAGATCAGGCAGCTTAGCCCTCTCACACATGGGAATACGACATGCTGCATGAGGCAAAGCAATTGTTTGTTAGCTCTTCCGGGCGACCAAGGGAGACCCAAAACTTTGCCGATGAGCACCGACATTCCTACTCCTACTGTGTATGCTGATTGGGACCCCGGAGCCCCATGGTCCTCCTCAATGCTTTGCGTCTGCATGCTAAACGACGACTTTATATCAGGAACTCGCAGCTGAGGCTTCCGTAACGAGAGGTCCCAGGCGTCTAGGCCCAGGGAATCGGACCCTGTTGACGGGGATAAGACTTTCCCTCATCAGACCTTAACCTCAGTCGCAACACGCCCTCAACCCTAAACCCTACACCTTAAATCCTAAACCCTAAACCCTACACCCTAAACCCGAACCTGTCAATCCCGAGGAGCAGGAACACCCTCAGCCCTACACCACTCCAGTCTTGATGCAGCTTGCTGGGCGTCAGATATCCCCAAGAACTCCTTTCATCGACACCCCAAGAGTTCGTAAATAGCCCCGCTACTCTACGGAGCCCTTGTGCCGTCAGATTCAAGTCTCTAGCCCAGGAACCCTAAACCCCAAACCCGAAGCCCCCAAACCCTAAACCCTGAACCCGACCAAACAACACCGGGCTCCCAAACTGACCGCTTGTGGCTGCAGCTGTGGGCTGCTTCTGCCGTCGTTTCATCCGGCCTACGAATCGCAGGGTCTATCGAGGCTTACTTGGAGGGTCATGGTACTTATTAACCTATAGGAACTGCACTTATAACCCACTTAATTATAAGCCCCAAGTGCCCTAATATGGTTACAAGTAGGTATAATTGGCTAAGAAGTACCATGAACCTCCAAGTATGCCTTACTAAAGTGGAGTAGTGAGTACAGCGGGAGGCCCTAGTCCCACCCACTTTGCCTCCGACTACTTTCCCCCGAGAGAACGCAGGTCCACCCACGACCCCGAAAAGTCCCACCCAAAATTTTCAGCCAGGGAATGCAACGAAGCTTTTCCCCGAGGGAACACAAGTCCCACCCACAGGTTTCATGCGGGTTTTTGCAAACTTCCACATGCGACAAAACATGTCAAACACCATGTAAACGCATGTAAACGCAGCGTTTGATCTTCGAGTCTCTCACACCCGAGATTCACATACCAAGTGTCTCCTCCCACATCCGACAAAACCTTTGTTCGCAAACCATGGTTTAGGGTTTAGGCTTTAGGGTTTAGGGCTGGGTTGCGGTTTAGGGGTTGGGGCTTCGGGAAGCCTAGTGATTCTTTCCCGGCCTGTGGGCAAATGTTAGTCTAGTTGAACGATACCCTGTCCTAGACGTGTGTATGGGGTTGAACGATACCCTTGGGTTCGATTTGAAGCCACATGCCCATCAGACTGGATTGGCAGTCAAGAACTTCCTCTTTGGAGCCATTTACACAGCTACAGCGATGCCGGACATATCCCGATTGCACCTGCATCGGGTAACAACTTCAACCGCATGCACATCTGTAGAAGCAGAGTACGAAAGTTGACCGTTTTGGTCGGAGGAACCTGAAATCCCAATGAACGCAGAGGACTCAGGAAGTTGATGAAGTCGACCGCGGCATCCCTTCCCCCAATGAACGCATGGATTTTACAGCTACCAATAGCAGCAAATTCGTTGCGAAATTATGTAAATCTCGAGGGAACGCTTGGCCTAAGTACCTCTCTGTACATGATGAGGTTACATCCTTGGTCGTTTCCCCCAAGTAAACGCAAGTGGGGGCAACTTTTACATATTCTTCCCCCGAGTGACTGCGATGATCCAAACAGAGTGGGGGCGACTAGGGCCTTTGGGAGTAGGGCTTCGGTCTCGATCATGACTCGATGTACCAGGGGAGTTAACTTCCCTCAGGCAATTACTTGGGGGGGGGGCCCTTGTCTTGTGGATGGAGCTTCCGTACAGGCTTCACGTCTCGGACCACTCCCTTCGATCTTTGACGATATAGCTGCCGATCCCCAACCTCCCATCCTACGCCGAAGGTCCCTCCCCTTGCCCGCCATACTTTCGCGCATTTTTCCCACCTTCGAACAATCCGAATCCTGCAAGGGCCTCGACACCTAATTGGCACCTGGCACCACTTCTGGCAGCCAGCGCCCATCAGCGTGTCACACTCGCAAGTTCGCCACCATGAGCTTAAGAACGTAAAGCTTCGAAGGGGTTGGAAGGTTTGGAGGCTGTTTTCTTCTCAGGTTTTCCATGCTTCACGCCAGCACCTGCAGGCATGGTGAACTTCAGCTTTCTCGCGCTCACTTTGCCGGAGAGGGCCTTCTTGCCTACCTCTTCCACCACTCCCTCACTGAAGAGGGACAGCAGGCTGCTCAGCAAGGGACTTTCTTCCAGCCGCAGTACAACTGTGTCACTCTCCATGCTCAAGTACTTGTGGTCTTTCGAGTCAGCCGTGTGGGAGTGCAAGCTCCGCAGCATCGTATGCAGAAAGGGGCCGTCGTAGGCGTTCACAAAATCCAGCTGCCCATGTGGGTGTCCAAGCGCATCGTTCAGAAGCGACACGGACCAGAGGGCCCCAAGATATGTGTTGATGAACGCCGAGGCGGCTGGGCAGAATGCCTTCTCAGAGTTCACGCGCAGCCCTGTCAGGAGCTCCCGGCGATCTTCGGGATCCTCGGTCAGCTGCATCAGCAACACCCCGACGTAGGGCCAAGGGATGTCAAGAGGCGGAGCGTCCTGGTCAGCAGGGGGTAGGTTTGGGGGGGCCCTACAAAAATTGAATGCGTCTGGCTCTATTCCGATTATGTAGGGGATTAGGGGCCACAACAAACACATGTTCAAACCTACCCCTGAGGCGGAGCGTCCTGGTCGGCATTCGTGAGCACCATGAATCGGAACGCTGCGATTGGGAGGATCAGGTGCCTTGGCAGCTCACTGTCCTCCAGGCCGGGCCAATCCACCGCCTCCTTGAAATAATGTTTCCGTGCCGCCAGGCTGCTGGTCTTCAGGCCATAGGGCCAGTCCTGAAAAAGGGGGGTACCTTATTGGGGGTTATTCTTATACGGGAATCCTACCATTTGGGGACTAGATTGGGGCCCCTTATCTTCGTAAACCTGCCCAGAAGGGCCACTCCTGAAAAGGGGGTTGCAAGGCGGGGGCTTCCAGCATCACCTCCTCGAACTTGGTGGTGCTGTCTTTCCGGCCGCGCTCGGTGACAGGCCTGGCAAGAAGCTTCATGGCAGCTGCTCGGAGAGGGCGTGAGAGCACCCAGCTGCTCTTCAGCTTCATCTCCTCTACCATGGCAGGCGCCGCGATGTAGCCTCGGCTGAGGGCAGACATCATGGTGCTGGACATCGCATGGCCGCGCCAGAGAGAGAGCACGTCCTCTGTCAGCGGCTCGCCGTTCACGAGGAGCCGGCTCTCTTCGTGATGGCACTTCTTGCAGTAGAAGTCCTGGGTGCCCCCCCAGTCCCCGAAGAGTCAGAAGTCATGGACTACGTCCATCCCTCGCAAGTGCCTCATGTTGGCCCTAACCCCCCCAAGACAAACCCGAAAGACAACACACATACCAGCACGGTTTCTCAAGAGTCCGTCGCACCATAGAGGAAGTTGTCCAGAAGCTTTGCTGGAACCACGCTCCGGGCGGTTGCCATCAAGTCCTCAGCCTTGGCGCGGCAGGCCCGGATGAATGCTGCCACTTGCTGATGCGCCGTAGGTTGCTGCTTCGCGCTCCCGTCGCTGTTGAGCATCCTGTGCCATGCGCGCATCTCCTCAAAAGGCACGAAGTCGTTTCCGCAGAGGCCCGCGAAGATCGGGACGTCATCTCCCGAGATGCCCAGGTAGTCCCAAAACACAGCCGGCTCGAGGACCAGCAGGGCGTCCTCGACCTGCTGGCCATACTGGAAGAACTGTGGCATGTCGACATACCCGAGCCTGGGTTCTTGTTCCGGAAATACAGTCACGCTGCCATCACAAGGTAGGTATAGTAAATACTAAATACCCTAGTGCCTTCCTTTGTTAGCTTGGTTAAAGTTCCTCAACACGAACCCAGAAGCGTCTCCATCAACATCAGGTCAGAGTCCCTTGACACCACCATGCCGTTCCGCTCTCGAGCCACCGAGGCAACCGTTGCATCTGCATCTCCATCGGCCTGCACCGCCGTGATGCCAAGCCGAGCCAGCGACGCGGACAGAGCGTGCCCTGAAAACATCGGGGGCAGGCAGTCCTCAACAGCAGTGTGATCTTGCGGAGCAAGCAGAAATGACATCATCACGCCCTAAACCCTCAGCTCGACCCGAAACGTTCCCCCAAACTTGGGATTTTCCCTCTTGTACCAACAGTCCTTATTATCGGGGGCACTAACATCCCGATTAAGGACTGCTGATATAAGGGGGAACATCCCAACCCCGAAGACTTAACCTCCAGGTCCTCCCAGCTGCCGACCCCTCGTGCATCGCGGTCTGCTTTGCCGTAGTCCTCTTCGGTGCGCTTCTGCCACGTGGCCTCCTTCATAGGAAGTTGCGGGTTTTCGGGGCAAGCCGTATCCCTACAACCCCAAAGACGAGGGTGGGGTTTTAGGGTAGACTGTAAGAATTTTTGCTCCAGAGAGCAGCCAAGAATCCGGGACTACACAGGACTGTCAGGGGGCTGCTGCTATCGAGGCAGGGTTCTGAGGTTTGAGATGTTTTCAGGTGTTGCTTTTCATTCTACAAGGTCATTTCTGGGGGGGGGGGGGGGGGGAGGGGGGGAGGGGGAGGGGGAGGGGGGGAGGGGGGGGAGGGGGGGGGGGGGGGGGGGGGGGAGGGGGGGAGGGGAGGGGGGGGGGGGGGGGGGGGGTGAGGGGGGGAGGGGGGGGAGGGGGGGAGAGGGGGGGGGAGGGGGGGGAGGGGTTGTCCGAAGCCCCGGCCCGAAACCTGCTGAGGGGAACTCTGAGGCCAAAGTTGAGGAATGTAGTCGGCATGACTACCAGAAAGAATATGAAGAAATCCACTTCGGAAAGGCCCTTTACTCCCACAATCTGCTTGGGGTCCATGTAGAAGGTGTCTCAACTCGTGTTCCTCTACACCAAGGTCCTTCCATTCCGACGGCACGCCATCGAAGACAAAGACCAACTCCTTGGATCAAGGTGGCTTGGATTTTCGGTGCTTTAGGCTCAGAACTTCACCTCATGAAGTCCTTTTGAATACCAGAACCCCCCACACCACAAAGCCAAAAAAAAAACGTAAACCTTAGACTTAGACCCTACAAGGTGACTGCATCAACCCAAAGTCACGCATCCTACCGATGAACCCAAAGAATCACCCTAAACCCTAAACCCTAAACCCTAAACCCTAAACCCTAAACCCTAAACCCTAAACCCTAAACCCTAAACCCTAAACCCTAAACCCTAAACAAACTTAAACGTGCTAGCATAACCCCTACACTCTGGGTGCGGACAGTACAGTACACCTCCCCCGGATTGCAGATGCCGCAAAGTCTGCCCTGAACAACACTGGGTGGAGCCTCGAACAACTTCCCAACAAGGAGCCTCAGCTTGACGCCGTAACCTGGAAATGGCCTCCAAACCCACTCTGAACCCTAAACTAAGCCCCAAACCCTAAACCCTAAACCCTAAACCCTAAACCCGGAGAACCCTAAACCCTAAACTAAACCCCCTAAGAGGCAATACTTGGTAGCCTGGGCGTCCCATCCCCAGCTCAACAGCCGCTCCAAGAACGACTCCAGGGCTCTTTGCAGGCTGAGAAGATCGCCTCCAAATGGGCGGGGGGGGGGCTTAGGGTTGGGGGCGTTTCCATCAGAACTTCCCTTTAGTTTTTTTGCTGACCGGCAGTCGTTTAGGGTTTAGGGTTCGGGGCTTAGGGTTTGAGGTTTAGGGTTTAAGGCTTAGGGTTAGGGTTTGGCGTGTTTAGGGTTTGGGGCTTTTGGGGTTCGTAGGGGTTGGGGAGGTGGAGCCGGTATTGGCTCGGCCCCCCGAGACCGAAAGGCACCCTGAGCCACCCGAGGATTTCACAGGGGGGTGCGCTTGCGGGATAGCAACGGTTGGGTTGAGGGCTTGCGATTTGCTACCGTTTGCTTAAGAACCACCCAAAGCACTAGAAGATAAGAATCCCTGTATTGCACTTATAAATGGACTTGCATTTTGTACTTTTTTGGGGAAGCTCTTAAGCGAATACTAGTTTAGGGTTGCGCGTGCAGAATTTTGAGACACTCGGATGGCCGCCGTGACGGGAGCCGAAGAAGAAGTGGCGGCACATCTCGTAACCTTGCCGTCATGGGCATAGAGACATTTAGGAGATCTGCTGGTCCCTAATATAGGGGTCGGAATAATTACTCATAGTATTCCCTTAGGGTCCCTGTATTCTTATATTATACCAACCCCCCAAGACCCTATTCTCGCTATTCAGGCCCCTATGTTATGTTGTTTCACATACATACCGGAGAGGGCCTGCAGACTTGCTTCTGTGAAGCCCGTGAAGACGCATCGTCATGCTTGATAACCCCAAACTCCGAACTGGTCAGGGGAATACGGGCGGCACTTCTCTACATCAGGGTCTCTGCAGTCCTTCTACAATAAGGTGCTGTACTTTATCCGCCGACCCCGCTGCCGTCGTCAGTGAAATCCCGAAGGGTCTCCCCTCCCCTTCCGCCCGTCCCTTCCGCCCGTTCTGACGGCTCCTTCCTGTCCTACCTTGATTGCCCCGCCCCTCCACCATCCCCACAGGAGGCCACGGCCTCACCGCCCCGCCCACAAACAGCTCCTGTACCCCCGCCTGTCCTCCATGTTCTCCTGCGACGCCCCCTTTCCACACCGCCCCCACCGGGTCCCCTGCACCCCTTCCTCTCCTTCCTTGATTGCCCAGCCCCGCCCCTTCCCCTTGCCCAGCCCCGCCCCACCGCCTTCAAAACCACCGCAGCCCGCTCCACCATCCCCCTGTGACGCCATCTCCTGTGACGCCTCTCCCACCTGGAAATTGAAGTGTTGTAAGGGCTCCAATGCATGCCCAGCCACCACCATCCCTACCCCTTCCTGTCCTATCTTGACCAGCCCACCGCCCCTGCCCACACCGCCCCCACCCCACACCACAGACTCCTGTCCTCCGCGCCTCTGCCAAAGGGCTCCAATGCATGCCCACACCGCCCCCACCGCCCACCACCATCCCTACCCCTTCCTGTCCTACCTTGACCGCCCGCCCGCCCTGCCCTGCCCACACCGCCCCCACCGCCCACAGACTCCTGTCCTCCGTGCCTCTGTGACGCCTCTGCCATCCCCCTGTCCTACCTGGAAATTGTACCGCTCTGCCGATTGGCGGCAGCCATTCAATATAGGACCCAACAAGGGACCCCAATTAGAGAACGACCCATAGACATCTGAAAGCTTGAGAACCTGATGTTGGGGAGAGCAGCGAAAGGAGCCAGCATCGATCACCAGCACAGGCCACTCGTCCTGGCGCAGCCTCCTCCATAGTTGAGGGTGTTCAGTAGCCACCGTATACAGCCCACGAACTCCCATTGCTGAACTATGCTTGGAAAACCCGCGCACATCGCCTGAACCACTCGTTGCGGGCATGGGCAGTATGATGCTTCCGCATGAACTTTAGCAACACTTGCACAGAGGACACATGAGCAAACATGCTTTGAACCTCTCATCTAAGGTTTACTCCAGTGAGCTCCAGAGTGTGGCAGCAAGGCAAGGGGTGAGTTTGAGGGCCACCTCGACTCAGGCAATCTCAGGCAGAAATTGCTGGCTACCTTAAACCCTACTCCCTAAGCTCGAAGGCCTTCACAGGCTTGTGCCCCCAGTTCTCCTGCCATGCAGCATGCGGTGTGAAAGCTTGCTTTTGCTGAGGAGCTGGAGGCTGAACTCCTAACGACACAACACATTTACGGCGCTCCCACAACACGCATCCGAGTTGGCAGCTTTCAGGTCTTTTTCAGGCACGCGTACTCCTTGGTCCTCATTTGGAAGTTGAAACTGGCCCCTGAGGAAGATCGAGGCCTCCGCGGCGAAAGGACAGTCAAGGGCAAACCTGTCCTCTCAAGCGCCGGACCACTGGTTTAGGGTTTAGGGTTTAGGGTTTAGGGTTTAGGGTTTAGGGTTTAGGGTTTAGGGTTTAGGGTTTAGGGTTTAGGGTTTCCTGATTGCATTCGAGTCCGCGAAGCAAATGTGCATACAGAGGCGCCAATGTGCCGCAAAGGGCATGTGTCTAGCATGCTTCACTGAAGACGCTGAGATCACGCAGCATGAAGCCCTGGAATACCACGGTCGACGAATGCCCGCAAAGGAGGCAACAAAACTGTTCATTGCTGCAGCCATGAAATGCAGCCCTCAGGACTGCTGGAGCTGCGCCACCCGCAACAAGAAGGCCATCTCGCTTGCTACGCGCAATCAGACCTCTTTGAAATGCACAACATACTTCGGGTATACATGTGCCTCATTATCGATCACAACTGCACCTCCATATTCATTTTGACGATGGTGTTTGGCGCTGATGGAATCAATGTACTGAGCCAGAATTAGCTGTTTCGAACTTGTGCGCATAAAGTCTCTCATGGAAAGGCCTGGTCGCACAGCCAAGTAGATGCCGGCTCCATACACGCTCCCGTTTTTCCCAGCAAAACGCGTCTGGAATCCGTTTTGCTTGATACCAGCCATTCCAGCATCATCCGTCCCGTGGAAGCCCCACTTGATTCCTTTCGATCGACGAGATTTGCGCTCTTGTTCGACGCTGTCCCAAAAAGCACGTCTAGCCGGATCGATGAGAACGATTTCGACCATGGTAACCCGAACCTTTCCGGGATCAATTAGATTTGTCTCCTGCAGCATCCGCAAGAATTGAGACTCGGCAGTGCGAAACTCATTTTCAGCCCAATCTCCCGCGGTTTTTCCTCTCGCCGTGACTTGTATGCAATCGACCTCGCCCGGCATCAGTGGGTACTGATGGAATCTGCATTGCGGATTCTGCATAAACATTGGCTTTATCTTCTTTGTCTGCCCCGTGGAAGTGTCCTTCAACACATACGCTGTCGGATCACTCTTGAAGTCCACCATGAGGACGGCATCCCCTCCACCTTTGAACTTCCAGAATGCACGTTCAAGCTCTGGCCACAAGCCCCGGTCAACGTTCCAGCCAAACTGTCCCTTGCCGTTGGATGAAACATCAACCCACCGGATCTTGGTCATCTGCTGCTGGAATTTCAATGGCATGACAGGCGTTGGCTTCTTTCGCTCAGCTTCAAGTTCGGATGTAAGCTGCCTCAGCGTTAAAGCGAAAAGGCTTCAGCAGCTTATTGACCTTCACCCTCAGCCCCCACTCTCAACCCCATGACTGAAATTAGCCAGGCGGCTTGTTCTTCGTGTTCAGCGCCTGAAGATCTGCTTGGTACTGACCTTGATCAATCAAGCCAGTCTTATTCTGCACTCGTACTTCCATCAGTGCAGCCTGTATCTCCTTCTTCTCTTTCTCCCGCTGCTCCGTCTCCCTTCTGAGCTCCTGAACTTGCTGCCGCAGAGTTCGTACCTCGTGGTCCCATTCTTCAGCCTGTCTCTGGGCCATGCCACAGTCCTCCTCTGCAGGCTTCGCATGGGTGTCCGATCTTGCCTGTGTTACATGGGGGAAGATGCTTGCTTGCTCGGCATCTGTCAAGCCAAAAGGCTGCCCCCCTTGGACTGGGGATGACTCCTCGCAGAGCGATCCGGATGGCGTGGAAGGCGCACCAAGGCCGGGGAGACCAAACTTTGTGCGTATCTTGCTGCGCGGCGTGCAAGGCAAAGAAAGCTCCGACGCTGCTTGCAACAGATCGGCGGACAATCTGCCAGCCTCGGCCGTTCCTTCACAGGCCTTGATCCATCCTGTAGGAATGGCCTCCACACCCCACCACGCACCAGCCAGGGTTCCTGCCATGCTTGCAATTGTGTCAGTGTCGCCTCCACAAGAAATGGCCAAGTCGATCACGTTTTGGAACAACTGCTGGTTTCCCTTTGCTTCAGGATCAGCAGAGGCAACGATGGCAAACACTGCGAGAGCTGCAGGGACGGCCTCTGTTGCCTTGACCCCATTGCCTAGCAGAGACTGAACATCACTTGCAAATCGGTCGTAGTCCAGCACCGGGTCCAACACGAGGTGCCTGTGAACAAGATCCCTAAGCTGCGTCAGCTTTTCGTGATAGGCCTTGTTTTCGACACTTGACCGCAAGAAAAAGATGAAGTCATCCAGGTCAAAATCTTGACTTGCGGGAGCTGCACGCAACAGGTAGCTCACGGCATGAGCCTGCAACGTCGCCCCATCCATTGCATCGTCATGGGTATGGGTGATCACCGCTGATCGCGCTGCCAGAACACCTATCAAATTCGGAGCTTTAAAGGCAAAGATTGCCACAGGACAGACTCGCATGGCAGCACCATTGCCATGAGAGCCAGCTCCCCCATGAGTTTGCCCTGCAATCTCCTTTACTCGAAAGAGCGATGCATGCTTACCCTTCATCTCAACATCGAGCTCCTGGAACAACTTCTTCACCCCCTTCCCATAGCCTCGAGACTGATCTCGACAAAATTCGTCACGGAAGCTTTTGGCAAGCTCAAACGGGTGGATGGTTCCGTTCTTCAGCAAGTTCTTGGCAACGCATGTAGTCATGGCGGTGTCGTCTGTGTACTTGACAGGCGCGACCCAAGCGTGGTAAGTTCCCCAGTCCATCACCCTCTGGGTGTAGTTACGCACCTGCTTGTACGCGACTGTCTTGTGGCCTGCGGAAAACTCAAATTTAGCGCCCAGGCAGTCCCCCACCACTGCACCCATCATGGCGCCAATGCAAGCGTCTTGCAACCGCACTGTCGGAGGAGATGCTGGAACCTAAGCAACCAGGCACATGGTCAATGCCGGCAATCTCCCCTTCCCCCGCCCTGTCCTCTTCCTGGTTGATTTTACCCGTAGTTCTAGTCCGGTATCCCCTATCCTACGTCGTCATGCGCTCCATGATACACTTGGCTGCATGCACAAACTCAGCACACGATGCTTCTGCAGAAGCTTCAATGAGAGGGTTCGTGATGCACCACAGACCACTGAGCTTGGCACCTGCTGCTGTTCCATGTATGCAGGACGGTACTTGTACGCGCCATACATCATCGCTGGCACAGCAACTGCAGGCACGCATGCTCGCGCATGCGAAGTCCACATGGGATTGTCGCAGGGCGTGCGCGTCAGCTTTCAAGGAGATCAGAATCGTTTCTCTCAGCTTGGGCCGGCGCACTGACAAGCCGGAAAAGCAGAGGAATGAGAGCTTAGAGCGCGGAGTCAGGAGGGCTGGTCCGGAAATGCTAACGCAAGGTGTGTCCGTGCCTGGGACCGACAGCACCATTGTCGGCAGGCGCAGGGCGTTACTTTGGGAAAAGGATACCAACTGCTAGCAGGACTCCTACTTCTCCAGCAAGCACTGAGACCCTCTACAGCTCCCAGGCCTGGATCGCATTGATCGGAATTCCATGGCGAGGGCTCCTGCTTTCTGGTTTGCCCTACGTGCTTGCCGACGCATCACAAGGACGCGACATGTGTTCTGGCAGCACTATGTATGTTGATAAGGCTTCGAAAGCTGCTCATGACTCATGCCCGCATGTTTAGGTTGCAGGGTTTACAGTCCAAACTTCTAAGTGCTGAGGCTTCTGGAGGGCCCAGACTTGCAAGGTGAGAAGCCAACATCCGAATGCATGAAGCCTCAATGCTTCAAACACGAAACCTCGATACTAAACCCGAAACCCGAAGCCCTAAACCCTAAACCCCAAACCCAAAAACCCAAAACCCGAAACCCTAAACCCCAAAACCAAAGAACCCAAAACCCTAAACCCTAAACCCTAGTGATCGCGTCGGCCTCTGCCGGCCGACCCCGGCCGAGCGCGAAAGCCTGCATGGGGCAGAGGTCTAAGACTGCGACGCCGCACCCGCTTCGGGGTTTAGGCTTCTGTGGTGTAAGCTTCAGGTTTTGGAGGCTTGGGGTTTTGGGGCTTTGGAGGTTAGGCGTTTTGGGGGTTCAGGGTTTGGGTTTGGGACCCTGACTGAGCTCCAAACCTACCTTCAACTCGGTTGGGCTGTGGAGTCTCCAGGCGCTAGGGCTTTGCAGTATTGAGGGCTTAGGGTTTATGAGGCTTTGGGCTTTGCAGTATTGAGGGCTCCGAGTTTAGAGTTTAGGGTTTAGGATTTAGGACTTTATGGAATTGATTGCTGGGAGTTGAGGTGAGGGGTTTGACTGGGGCAGCTGGAGTTGAGGTGTTCTGGTTGGGGCCACAAGGGCCCAGCGAAACCAACAGGTTCAACTTCGGAGAATGCGCAAAGTCGGCCTTCAAGGGCAACTCCCAGATCCCGCAATGGTTCGAGGTGGACTTGGGGAGGTTTGGTCATGTGATTCTGGGGTGGCCGCCCTGACCCCGAACCCTGTTGCAGAGTGCGCCTTGCAGCGCGCCGGCCCGTGGGAAGGGGTTTCTCGATCCACAGGCTGCGGCTTGGACAGCGGCTGCAGCACTTTGCCCAGGGCTTTTTCCAACCTAACTAGGTCAATAGAGCTGCAAGAACGGCTGCAAAGGAAAGCGAAACCATCCCGAAAGCTGTGGCATGAGCAGCCAGAGCTGCAACAGAAGATCGCGGGTTTAGGGTTTAGGGTTTAGGGATTAAGGTTTAGGGTTTAGGGTTTAGGGTTCAGGGTTTAGGGACCCTATGCTCTCACCCCCAAGAAGATCCAAGAAGTGCCCAGGGCCACTGCGCAGGAGGGCCAGGACAGGAGTGAAGTGTACACTGCCCCCACGTGCTCCTCTGCAAGGCTGCGAAATTCAGCTGACTGGTTCAGGGAAATCGCTGCCCGATGAAATCCCTTAAAGGGGTATACAGGAGGTGTAGCGGGTTCATGGGTTGAGGGCTCAGGATTTAGGTTTCAGTGGTTGAAGGTTCAGGTTAAGGGAAGTGAAGCAAAGGGATTCTAGCTAGCCTTCTCTGCTGCACACAAGGGCTCAGAGTTGTCTGTGCGCTCTTGCACCTCTGGAATCTCGTGCTCTGTGCTCTACAGATAGTCTTTTGCGGCACTCTCATCTCACACCGAAAAAGGCTTCCTACCCTACAGCCTCCCTAAACCAAAACGTATTCAGGCTTTCCTCTTGCGATGCCTTTCTACTTCTTTGTGGGGAACGCGCGAAGTTTGGATCCCAACCCTCAAGAATCTCGTCATGTTGTCTTGAGGAGCCCTTTGTACAGCCACTGAAACCTTAAACGGTGACACCCTATCCTCAGATCCCCAACCCTCAGCCCTGCACCCTAAACCCTAAGCCCTCAACCCTAAACCCTAAACCCGCAAGGCCCTTAGCTGCCGGGCTCTCCTCCTGCAGGTGCTCTGGCGTGGCGGGATCCCAGTCTAGGAGCTTCCACACCTCAGGTTTAGGGTTTAGGGTTGAGGGCTTGGGGGTTCGGGCTTAGAGGGCATGCTGGGTTGGGTGGCGCACGGATTCGGACATCGGGAGCCCGACAAAATCCCTGGAGCCAGGCACAGGATCCCTACTCCCGTGCCAAGAACTCCCACCTAAGCCCGACACCCCAAACCTGAAACCCCAACCCTAACCCTAAACCCCAAACCCTAAGCCCCCAAACCAAGCCAGAAAGCCAAAGTCACACTTCTGGTGCAAGGGAGGGCTTTTGTCTTCTGCGGGTCTGCGTCATCCCCTGCCGACCTTTTTGTTCGTCGAGCAGGCACAGAGCTTGGGCTCAGGGCCCCCTAAGGATCCATGTACCTATATAGTATATGGAGCTTCAGGGCCCAAGGATAAAAACAAATGGGTTAGGGGGCTGTATGGCTGGGGTTCGGAGACTTGAGTCAGAGTGGCCTTGCACCTTGTGATGGCTTGAAAGGATCTGGGGTTTCTTCAGTGTTTAGGGTTTGGGGCTGAGGGTTCAGACCCTAAACCTTCTACCCTTATAAGCCCAGCTTGCGGAATGCGAGTCATACACGGCCACCAATGGCCCGAAACGCAAGCTCCGGCACCGGCGCGTCCCCGGTCACTACGACGTCAAACTTCTGCTGGAACCTTTGCAGACGCAGGGTTTTAGGGGTTTTTGGGGTGGGGGCTTTGGGGTTTTGGGGTTTTGGGGGTTTTGGTGTTGGAGGTTGCAGGAATGGGGCTGTGTGCTCTGGGGGGATTCGGGAGACTTTGGGCAGTTTTAGGTTTAGGGACCCACCACACGACGCTGTGCCCCCGCAGAGACTTCAAGACTTTGAGACAGAGAACCGCCCCAGCCCCATTCAGGATTAAAGGTTTAGGGGTTTAGGGGTCGATGGTTTAGGGGTTTAGGGTTTAGGGGTTTAGGGGTGTAGGTTTAGGGTTTACGGTTTAGGGTTTAGGGTCTACCGAATGGAACAGGGCGCTCTGGCATCCTCTCCTCGATCTTCTCGTTCAAGAAGCCAATCTGGGCAGGGGACGTCTTAGGCTTCAGGCGATGGGGTGCTAGGTTTAAGGTTGGAGGGTTTGGGGCTGTGGGTTTAGCTCGGAATCCCCTGAGTCAACTCTCCACCCGCCCCCTAACCCCCGGAAATGAGAAAAAGCCCCCCCCCCCCCATAATACAGCTCACCGGCTGCCCAATCCCCAAACCCCAAACCCCAAACCCGAAACCCCAAACCCGAAACCCTAGACCCCAAACCCCAAGCCCTAAACCCCTCACCGGCCTTGAACGGTTCGACCTCCAGGCCGTTAGCCATGGTGCCTCGGCTTGGCCGGAGGGCTGCTTGAAACAAAACAGAACCCCAAACATCGAACCCCGAACCCTGCACACGGTTTAGGGTTTAGGGCCTAGGGCTTAGGGTTTAGGGTTTAGGGTTTAGGGTTTAGGGTGCAGGGTTTAGGGTGCAGGGTTCAGGGTTTAGGGTTTAGGGTTTAGGGTTTAGGGTTTAGAGTTTCGGGTTTCGGGTTTGGTTGCACCCTGACTTTTGCAGAAGCTGCCGGCTTGGATTGGCTTCGAGGCCAAAATCCGGCAGGTGAGGCTCAGGCTCGGGACTTTCAGGTTGCTTGAAGGGCTAACCCTAAACCCTAAACCCTAAACCCTAAACCCTAAACCCTAAACCCTAAACCCTAAACCCTAAACCCTAAACCCTAAACCCTAAACCCTAAACCCTAAACCCTAAACCCTAAACCCTAAACCCTAAACCCTAAACCCTAAACCCTAAACCCTTTACGAGAGGGCTGGAGACTTGGCCCCTACGGCTGCAGAGGTTTAGGGCTTGCCCTTGGGTTCTGTTGGGGCTTCGGGTTTTCAGCTTGAAGGGTTTCGGGGTCTAGGGTTTACGGTCTCACCCAAAACCCTAAACCCCAAACCCTAAACCCTAAACCCCTAACCCCCGACACCCGACAGAACTGCTTCGGAGGCGCAGTCGCCCACGCCGTCGCCCATCAAGAGGCACTGGCGCTTGCCCTTCGCCAGCTCTCTGCAGGCCTGAAGATCAGCTTCTCAGGGTTTAGGGTTTAGGGCTTAGGGTTTAGGGTTTAGGGTTTAGGGTTTAGGGTTTAGGGTTTGGGGTTTAAGGTTTAGGGTTCAGGGTTTAGGGGAAGTCGGGGGCCTGCAGTCTGGCAAGCCAACCTCAAGCTTGGGAGCTCCTCCCTAAAACCCGAAGCCCTGAAGTCCTAAGCCTGAAGGTCTAGAAACCCTTAGGACCCTAAACCCTAAACCCTAAGCCCCAAACCTTAAAACCCCGACATGTCGAAGCCCTAAAGCTGCGAAGCGATGCAGTGATTTCGCCTCGGGCAAGAACGCGGCCGTCTTGTTGAACCTCAGATGGCGATCAGGAGTTTTGCCTCAGGCATTTGGGGCGTTTGCTGTAGGGCTTGGGGTTTAAGGCCGAGGGCTTAGGCTTTCATGGCCGAAGATATGTAGGGAGTGCACCCACCGCCTGCGTTTGAGATACGGAGGGTAGTTCTCTATGCTGTCCTGGCGAGTAGCAGCCGCGCATTAGTTCTAGATTCCTCTCTTATGTAGTTCGCTACTGAGACCCGGGCTCTCTGCAAAAGAGCACGCTGAATAAAGAAGAGAAAGAACAGAAAAGAAGGGCAAGTGCCACAGCAACTCCCCAGGACAACTACCAGCACCTTCCCTTAGACGCACAGATGCGGGCATCGATTCAGGCCCAGCATTAACATTCCCCAAAACTTAAACCCAGGACCCTAATCCCTAAACCCTAGTCCCTAAACCCTAAACCCTAATCCCTAATCCCTAAACCCTAAACCCTAAACCCCAAAACCCTAAACCCTAAATCCTAAATCCTAAACCCTAAACCCCAATCCCCAACCAAACTGGCCCGGGTCACATGTGGAGGAGGGGCTCCGAAAAGTCGACTAGCCGCCCTTCCTCGTTGAAGACCATCCTCCCGTTTTGGAGGATGGGTTTAGGGTTTCGGGTTCAGGGTTTGGGGTTTAGGGTTTAGGGTTTAGCATTTAGGGTTTAGGGTTTAGGGTTTAGGGTTTAGGGTTTAGGGTTTAGGGTTTAGGGTTTAGGGTTTAGGGTTTAGGGTTTAGGGTTTAGGGTTTAGGGGCTTTTCGGTATCAGGGCCTTGCGGGGTGGCCGGTCTAGGGGTGAAGACACTATCCATCTCCACATGTTGCAGAGGCAAACAAGGAGCCGGCCAGTGGATAGTGGAAGAACGTGTAGCTTGGGTAATCGAAGCTTATGTTTCATTATACTTACATCAGAATTGAATGGAGAGAACGTTGGTAGAAGGATGTGGGCTCTTGTATCATGTTCAGAAAGAGCTCACAGGAACTTCGTCTTGCTTATGGCCTTGCTGGTAAGCAAGACAGTCATCAAAGACCTTGGAAAAAAAAACTAGATGCTAGACCGAAGGCCCCAAACCTTACACCTTGAGGGTCTCGTCCTAGCTGTGTATGTTGGGAAGGCCCGTAGATCCCCGGACAAGCAACCGCCTGCAATTGCGCACGCAACCACGTAAAATCCTAAACCCTAAACCCTAAACCCTAAACCCTAAACCCTAAACCCTAAACCCTAAACCCTAAACCCTAAACCCTAAACCCTAAACCCTAAACCCAACACCCCGACCTTCTAAAGCAAACCCCTGCACCTTTGGAGCATCGAGGCTTCAGCTCGGGTCTTGGGGGCTTCGGGCTTCAGGGCCTGCCTGTTGGAGACCACGTGCGTCGTTGGGGCCCGCTCGAAGGGCAGCGTCTGCCGGAGGAACTCCTGAAAAAGAGGCAGAGGGGCTCCTACAGTAGGCGCGAACAACTCTGAACCCGCAAACCTGTTTTGAGGGGGGGAGGGTGGGGGGGGGGGGGGGGGGGGGGGGGGGGAGTTGAGGCTGCGGGAAGAAAAGGCGTCCATGACAGATGGAAATCTGGCACTTCCGCTTCGGCAAGGCGTGGACTGTGCCTCACTACCCCAGGACCCTCCTTCAAATCCGAGACCGGCTGGGGGATCTCAAATTCGTCCCATGCATCGTCAGGCCTCGATGACGTCGCCGAGGCCGGCGGACATGATGATCCTGCTGGAACCGCGAGAGAGAGACAGGCTTTTAGGGTTTCGGACTTAAGGGTTTAGGGTTTAGGGTTTAGGGTTTAGGGTTTAGGGTTTAGGGTTTAGAGTTTAGGGTTTAGGGTTTAGGGTTTAGCCCTAAACCCTGACACCCCCCAGCGATGCCAGGGCACACGGGGATCGCCGGCACATGCTCCTGGCAGCTTCGCAGGAAGTCGAACCTGAGCTTTGCGTCGGCTTCGAAACCCTCAGCACTACGAAGCCCTAAACCCTAAACCCTAAACCCTAAACCCTAAACCCTGGGAGTCCCACACCGCAAACACCCTCCCAAAACGGGCTCAACCGCAACCCCTGAAGGAGAGTTGAGTGGAAGGGACGAGCGCGCTGAGGGTTCCGTAGCGTGGGAGGATTTCCGGGCGTTTCTCTTGGAACGCACCCTCCAGCGTCTTGCTGTGCTCAGAGAATTGCGTCAATTGAGGGCTCTCAGAGTTTAGGGTTTCTAGTGCTCAAGGATTGAGCTCTCGCGGCGTAAGGGTTAAAGAGCTGAAGGCGCGGAGGTCTAATTGGTAGCCCAGCAGCCTTTTTTGGGTTCCTTGAGTAGAAGGCTTAGGAGCGCAGTCAACCGCCAAAGCTCTGGAGAATCGAAGCTGAACGGATGAAGGCAAAGGTCAAATTAATCCACAAAAATCCACACCCTAAAGGGTTTAGGTTTTAGGGTCTGGGGTTTGGGGTTTAGGGTTTAGGGTTTAGGGTTTAGGGTTTAGGGTTTAGGGCAGACCCTCTCAAACCCATCACAAGGCGCCCAGTGGCATGCCCTCGCGTGGGCGGATGGTTTGGCAGCCCGCAACCGCGCCCGCGATGTTCTCCCGGGTCACCTGGGATTTATCTATCGCCTTCTTGGAGGTTCATGGTACTTACTAACCAATTATAGCTGTACTTAAAAGCCCCTGAGGTGCCCTAATATGGTTATAAGGACAGTTATAATTGGTTATAAAAAGTACCATCAACTTGGAGCTACAAGTTTACGAATTTGGGCCATTCTCCATATTCTGGTCGTTGTTGGGGTGCTTGCTGCAAGGGTGCCCCCCGCCCCCCCCCGCCCCGAATCTAGAGAACTACACATCTCAGGATTTAGGTACTTAAGTGCGCTGCAGTAAGGACTTAAGTAAGGGCTTCAGTAAGGGCTGAAACAAGGCTTTAAGGGCTTAAATGCTTCATGTGTGTTACCTTTTTGAGGCCTTAAAGGGTGCAAAGAACTCATGGGGCGTAAGCAAGGGACGAAGTACTGATGGGAGCTTAAGGACGTACAGCAAGTCGTGAGATTCCTGGGATGCTGGGACTTCAAAATTTTAGGGCTCAAGGCCGCAGATCCCCTGAATGACATGCGCCGCACCAGGGTTTAGGGTTTAGGGTTTAGGGTTTAGGGTTTAGGGTTTAGGGTTTAGGGTTTAGGGTTTAGGGTTTAGGGTTTAGGGTTTAGGGTTTAGGGTTTAGGGTTTAGGGTTTAGGTTTAGGGTTTAGGGTTTAGGCATTGATTAAGGAGAACTAGGTTTGGGGCTTGTCTCGGGGTTGGGGGATTTTAGGGTTGTAGGGTTCTGCCCTAAACCCTAAACCCTAAACCCTAAACCCTAAACCCTAAACCCTAAACCTTGGCCCTAAATCCTGAAGAAGGAACCGAACCCCCAAAACAAGGGAATTGGGCACCCAGGGCCCACACCAAAACCCCTGAAGCCAGCTCCGATCATCAAAGCGTCGGACTCTTTGAGGATGAGCTCATGCACTTGCCCGTACCACTCGTTCATGATCGGGATCTTGGCTTTGGGGTAAAGGGTTTAGGGGTTTAGGGGTTTAGGGGTTTAGGGGTTTAGGGGTTTAGGGGTTTAGGGGTTTAGGGGTTTAGGGGTTTAGGGGTTTAGGGGTTTAGGGGTTTAGGGGTTTAGGGGTTTAGGGGTTTAGGGGTTTAGGGGTTTAGGGGGTTAGGGGGTTAGGGGTTTAGGGGTTTAGGGGTTTAGGGGTTTAGGGGTTTAGGGGTTTAGGGGTTTAGGGGTTTAGGGGTTTAGGGGTTTAGGGGTGTCGGTGTCTGGGGGGGCGTTTGTGGGGCTTGTGAGTTGTTTCGTCCAGCGCGATGGGTAACCTGAGGAGCCCTGGTATGTTCTGGCACTCCCCCAAGTTCCGCACCAGATAAACAAAAGCCAAGGCTCTTTCTCCTCAATCGTCCTCGGCCGGGACATCTCTTACTGTACGATTAAGTATAGGCTATACTGTATAGCTGTTCAACCCAATTCCACCGGAATCTTGGGAGCACACAGGATTCGGCATTGGTAACAAGCCTGAACGCCAATGTCTGCACCAAGCCCGGCACAAAACAGCATCGATCTCGATGGGATAGTACTTTCCTGGGCTGCGACTCGCAACCCAACCTCAACCCCGCCGCAAACCAAAAAGACACAAATCCAGAACCCAAAGCCTAAATCCTCAGGGTTTAGGGTTTAGGGTGTTGGGCTTGCTAAACCCAACTTGGCGATTAGGGCTTCAAGATAGGGGTGGGTGGACTCGACCCTGGTGCAAACCGAAGACCGACCTCAGCGAGGCCCCCCATGTTAGGAGAGTCAAAAAAAGAGGGGGTGTCAATAATTGGAATCTGGGGGTCTTCTGGGGAAGGGTTCTGCTTGCTCTCTGCAGCTCCTTTTGCTCTGCCGCCCCGACTTTGTCTGTCTGTTGTCCTGCTCTGCCGCAATGGACCGCCGCTCTGTGGCCTCTTGGCTCTGGTTATTTGTTCTGGCCGTGCGTCCGGGCGGGGAAGGGGGGGGGGGGGGGGGATAAGAATTCGAATCTGAGGAAATGGAGATCTCCTCGGCCATGGCTGGCGCTGGTCTGAGGGCCCCCCTCCCCAAAGTCTGAACGCCCCCCGGAAAGATCTGACAAATGGAAGTGAATCGGCTGGAGGAAGAAATGCTGGAGCCAGAGTTTTGGAATGACGCACACGCAAACCCTGCACTGGACGTGTAAACCCAGCACGCAGCAGCACAAGGACCCGCGCACCACGCATGAATGCTGGGCAGCAACGCACCAAAAAACTCCTCGGAACGATCCGGGCCTTTTTTTACTTGCGGTTGCGGCGCGTGTGCTTGATTGAGTCCGTAATCTCACTCATGCGGAGACACAACCTGCCACACGTTGCATTCCAAACAAAACATCTTGCGAAAAGCACTTTTGCGTTGAGCACGGGCCTCAGCTGCTCGCGGACCGTCTTGCGAAGCTCCCCGTCCTTGAGGGCCGACAGCGCCTGAGATGGAAGCAAGCTTTTTTCCTATTTTTAAAGACTGACCGGCAGGCGAGCCTCCTTGCGCGCGGCAATCGGCTCCTCGCCCGCCTTCAACTGCATGCACATCCACTGCTTGTAGCGAAGCGTCACCTGTCATGGAAGACAACACGGCGAGGAAGCTTAGCAGGTTAGGGGGGGACAGGCCTCTGCATCTGTCGAAGGGCGACGGTTCCGGGCCATCTCAATCAAAATCGACCTTACCGTTCTGCGCGGCTTGCAGTGCATTGCGGGCTAACACATTTGAGGTTCTGACGAACACGAAGAAAGGAGCACGTTCGCAAAGCTCGGATTCTGAAGTTGAGACAAAGACACAAGCAAGGAGACATGTTACATGCATGACATGTCTGCGCACTCCACTCTGACGCAAGCTCTACTCTGCTCTGCACAGGGGGGTGGGGGGGAGGGGCGGAGGCGAGCTTCGACTGCGAGTCCGACGTTCTCGTTTGAAACACAAAGGTCCGGAAAAGAGGGCCTGACTTTCGAGGCTGAAAACACGCAGGTCCACAAAAAAGAGAGGCTGGGGTCTCTCATGAAGGGCACTGACACGGCGACAGTGAAGGCGCGCAGAGCGCAGCCGAGTAAAGAGCAGCAATTGCCACGTCAGTAACGCAGCGCATGCTTAGAGAAATTTGCCGTGTCGCGCGGAAGCGTGGTCCGATGAGCAAAGCAAGTTCGCGGTTCTTGCAAGACGCATTTACTAAGGGCCTGAAGGGCGAGGCTCATTTTTTCGACTGAGTTTAGGATTTAAGCCTTGAATCCTACCATTTGGGGGTCTATACTAGGTGCCCCTTACCCTAAATCCGAAACCCTAGACCCACTCCCCGCCCCCTGCACTGGAATACCATACCCTCCCCGTGACCTCCTTCCCCCACCCCTCCCTACTATCCTTCTTTACACTCCACCCCCTTCAGGCCACACCCGACGCACACCGCTCAAACGCACCGCCCCCTAGGCCCCAAGTAAGCGAATGATTCCGGAAGTCACAAAAATAGTGCCCGAAGCCTTCCCACAAGTATACGTTTATGTCAAAGATGATGTTTTTAAGCTTAGAACTTAACTGTGTCAGACGCAAAACCCCAAACCATTCTTACTACTGCCTGCAGCCCTTGACCCCTCACCACCAATTTCTGACCCCCCTCCCCCACCACGCCCGAGCACACCCCTTCCATCCCTTTCTGCCTATCCTCTCCCCTACCCCCGACGGCAGAAGTATCTGCCATTGACCAGGATGTCTGGCGGCCAGAGTCTGGCGTTTATCCCCCAGCAGCTGTTACGGTTGGCTGGAAGCAAAGGTCGTTCTGAGTGTATACAGAAGGTTCACTTGAGCCAGAATGGCTACGGCAATAGGTGGTTTTTCCATAGAGAAGATATATGCTTGTAATTTCAACTTTTGCACACAACTTTTGCACACTGGCAATTTATCTAGTCATATAGACCTCTATATATATATATATGGTCACCCCCCCCCAATGGACCCACCGCGGGCCTTGATCTTTGCAAAAGTACCGCAAATACCGATAAAACCTATGCTGTCTGGTGATTTTCCGGTGACCGGATTTTTGACTGTATTCCTTAATTCACCCTCTCACACACGCACGGAGGGTTTTTCTTTCTGTTGGCTTTTGTTTATAATTTAAGATCTAGGCATTTAAACCTAAGCCTGCAAAAAAAAACCTTAACCTTTAAACCCTGTAGGGTTAAGGTTTAAAGGTTAAGGGTTTAAGATTTAGGCATTTGAACCTATGCCGGTAATTAAAGCTAAGCCCTTAACCTTTAAATTCTATCGGGTTGAGATTTTTACAGGTTTAGGGTTTAAGATGTAGGCATTTAAACCTAAGCCTGCAACTAAGTTTAAACCCTTAACCTTTAAACCCTGTAGGGTTAAAGTTTAGAGGCTTAGGGTTTAATATTTAGCCATTTAAACCTGTAGCCAAGCCCTTAACCTTTCAACCCTATAGTGTTAAGATTTTTAAGGGTTTAGGATATAAGATGTAGGCATTTAAACCTAATTAAGCCTGCAACTAATTTTAAACCCTTAACCTTTAAACCCTGTTGGGCTAAGGTTTAAAGGTTTCGGGCTTAAGATTTAGGCATTTAAACCTATTCCGGCAATTTACGCTAAGCCTCTAACCTTTAAACCCTATAGGGTTAAGATATTTAAAGGTTTAGGGTTTAAGTTTAAGGTTTAGGTATTTAGACCTATGCCGGCAGTTCATATTGAACCCTTAACCTTAAACCCCATAGGGATGAGATTTAAAGGTTTAGGATTCTTTACTTAGACATTTAAATCCAAGCTGACGATTCAACCTAAACCCTTAACCTTTAAACCCTATAGGGTGAAGGTTTAAAGTTTTAGGGTTTAAGATTCAGACATTTAAACCTAAGACAGCGATTAACACTAAGCCCTTAACCTTTAAACCCTATAGGGTTAAGGTTTAAAGGTTTGGGGTTTAAGATTCAGGCATTTAAAGCTAAGTATGTAATCAATTTGTCACCCTTAACACCTCTAAACTCTGTAGTGTGAAGGTTTAAAGGCTTAGGGTTTAAAAAAACCTAAGCCCCCTAAGCCCATAGAGTTTAAACCTTAAGGGTTTAAGGTTTACGCATCTATTCCTTAACCCTAAACCCTCTAGGGTCAGGACCCTAAAGCCCTCGGCAATCAAGCCTAAACCCTTGACCTTCAAACCCCATAGGATGAAGGTTTAAAGGTTTGGGGTTTAAGACTTAGGCATTTAAACCTAGAGGGCATTTAAGCCTTAATCCTAAACCCTTTAGGGTCAGAACCTTAGCACCCTATAGGGGTCTAGCACGTTCAAAGGCTTGAACCCTACAGGCGCTGAAGGTATACATGTCCTATCGGTTTTTAAACCATTACACCCTGTAAGAAGGTTTAGGGTCTTTTCGGGGTCTATCTCTAAATTTCTCACGGGGTTAACCCTGCAGGGTTTAAAGTTAAAGGTTTAGGGTTAAAGGTTAAGGCAATACCTATAGGATTAGAACCTTATAACCCTGTAGTGCATGAGGCTTAAACCCCTAAAACTTAACCATCTTTTTCTCGAGAAAACCAAAAAAACCAAAAAAACCAAAAAAAACCAAAAAAACCAAAAAAACCATCTTTTCCAAAACTATGGGGCTGGGGCCTCCAAAAGATGGTTTTTTTGGTTTTCTCGAGAAAAAGATGGTTTTTTTGGTTCGAAACCATCTTTTTCTCGAGAAAAAGATGGTTTTTGAGCAGCCGCTCTTCGAAAAACCATCTTTTTCTCGAGAAAAAGATGGTTTTTAGAGATCTTACCCTGGAAAAACCATCTTTTTCTCGAGACAAAGATGGTTTCCGGAGGTCTTGTCCTGGTAAAACCATCTTTTTCTCGAGAAAAAGATGGTTTTTGGAGGTCTTCTCCTGGTAAAACCATCTTTTTCTCGAGAAAAAGATGGTTTTTCGAAGGATGGTTGCTCAAAACAATCTTTTTCTCGAGAAAA